CGCGCGCGGAGGCCCAGCCCGCGCCGGGCTCCGCCTTGACGACGCGCGGCGGCGGCGCGTCGTCCTCGAGGTCGTCGGGCGACGCGAGCTGCTCGGCGAGCGCGGCGGACACGGCGTGGGGCAGGTCCTCGATGCGGCTGCGCACGGGCGGCGCCGCGAAGCCGAAGAAGCCGCTGCCGTCGGCGCCCAGACCGTAGGACCGGACGTGCGTCCGCTGGCTGTGGCTGCCCCCCGCGGCGCGCAGCTTCCAGGGCCCCGCGCCGTTGCGGCTCCGCACGCGCCGGAGCACCTCGGCGACGCAGTCGCCGGGCGTGCCCGCCTCGATCGTCGCGTGCGGCGCGTCGAGCGCCGTCACGCGGAAGACGGCCGTGTGGACGACGGCGTCCTTGCGCGCGTGGCCCTCGGCGTCGGGCCGCCGCGGCACCTTCGTCGTCCGCTCCGCGACCTGGAGCACGTAGACCGTGCGCTGCAACACGCGCGAGAAGGACCAGAAGATGCGCGTCGCGCGGTAGCCCAAGGGATAGATGCGGTCGACCGTGTGGAAGCCGCGGTAGCCGTGGGGCGCGACGTCCCCCAGGTCGTGGACGACCAACGCGCCGACCCTAAACCGCTTCGTCAGCGCCCGGGACCGCCGCACGCGGTCGTCGAGCCACGCCGCGTGCTCCTTCGTCATCTCCGCGAGCTGCTGCTTCTCCCGGAGCTTCTTGCGCGCCGCGCGCTCTTCTAATTTCAACTGGTGGTCCGACTTGAGGTCCGGGTCGTCCTTGGGGTCGTAGAACGCGTCGTCCGCCGGCGGGCCGTCGTCCAACACGCGCTTCTTCGCCGCGCGCTTCGGCCGGCGGCCGCCGTCCGCCGGCGGCATGGCCGCGGGCGCGGCCTTCTCGAGCGCGGCCTTCTTCTGCTTCGCCAGCGCCTCCTTCTTCTTCCGCCGCTCCGTCGCCTCCTGCTTCTTCCGCGCGTAGTCCGAGAGGACCTTGGGCGCGGCCTTTTTTTGGGCCTCGGTCACGGAGAACTCGTAGGCGTCGTGCGCGACGCCGGCCTTGGCCGCGGTGGCGTCGAGCGCGCCGAGCACGCGCACGGGGATGGCGACGTCGCCGAGGTACTTGTCGACCGTGACCTGTGCCGAAACCAACCAGTGAGCTGGGACGTCGGGGCCAAACTTCAGAAATCTCTAGCTCGGTCAAATCGAAGTCGATTTGGCTGATTTTTGGACGAATCGATTGCTCTCGTCAAGTTCTCGAAGCACAGCAGAAAACCCGCGCGGAACACTCACGTTGAAGCGACGTTGAATCACCCTTGTCCTGCCCTGACCGTGACCTTGGCGCCCGACGCGGCGAGCGCGCGCGCCTCGTGCGCCGCGGCCTCGGCCTTGGACGCCGCGGCCTCGGCGTCGGCCTCGGCCTTCGCGAGCAGCGCGCGCTGCTCCTCGGGCGACGGCTCCGGCAAGAGCAGACCCGTCGTCGCGACGTGCGTCTCGCCGTCGGCGTAGGCGATGGTCACGGCGTCGCCGTCGACGGCCGCGACCGTCGCGGCCGCGCCGACGCGCTTCGTGGCGTCGTCGCCGTCCGCGCGCGTGCCGACCTCGACGGCCGCGCCGACCCGGAACCCGCCGGCCGCGGGCATGAGGAGCGGCACGGCCGGCTTCTTCGACGCCGGCGACGCGCACTGGTGGCAGAAGACGCGCGCGCCGCCGACGCAGACCGCGCCCGCGTAGGCCCCGCAGCGGAAGTGGAAGTTGCGCTTGCACGTGTCGCCGCAGCAGCCCATGGTCGCGCCGTTCGTGCCGCAGTAGGTGCACTTCAGCGTCTTCGCGCGCGAGATGGCCGCGCGGACGTGGACGAGGCGCCGGTCCAGCTCGTAGACCTCGGACGACCACATGGCGCAGTTCGCGTGGATCCAGTGGTGCTGCTTGTCGTGGACGAAGACGAGGCGGCCGCTGTCGGGGCAGTCGCCGGCCTTGCGGCAGACCGCGCAGACCCGCGGGTCGCGCCAGTCGCCCAAATTCAAGGCCTTCTTGAACGCGTCGCGCAAAGCCGCGTCGCCCGCCCAGTGGTCGAGGGCGTCGTAGCCGTCCAGCGGCCGCGTCCGCGGCGGCGCGGCGACCAGGGCCGTGGACGGCGACGGCGGCGCGCGGGCCCGCGCGCGCGCGTCGAAGCGCCGCCGCTGCACCGCGACGGCCGCGAGCGCGACGCGCCACGACGTCTCGTCCGCGCCCAGGTGCGTCGGCACGCCGCCCTGGGACGAGTCCGCGCGGCAGCGGCCGCAGCCATGGGGCAGGCCCGGCGGCGCGTCGTCCATGGGCGCCAGGCACACCTTGGCGCAGGCCTGTGTGGAAATCAACCAGTGAGCTGGGACGTCCCGACCAAACTTTGAAATTCTCTAGCTCGGTCACATCGAAGTCGATTCGGCTGATTTTTGGACGAATCGATTGCTCTCACCGAGTTCTCGAAGCACAGACGAAGATTCTGGTCCGAACCGTTCGATTACGCGCACATTGAAGTCGGGTTGAAGATTTGAGTTCCACACAGGCGCAGGCCTCGTGGAAGTACGCGGCGCAGTAGGGGCACCGCTTCATCTGCGTCGACGGGAACGCCACACTGACGCGCGCGGAGATGGCGTCCCGCGACGCGTGGAAGCAGGCCGCGCCCGCGGCGCAGTTGCCCTTGCGCGGCGCCGCGGAAGGCTTCACCGTGCAGTCCAGGCAGCAGTCCAACCTCGAGCTCCAGCCGCCCGCGGCGTGCTTGTGCTTGCCGCAGTGGCGGCACGTGACGCACAGCCCGCAGATCCAGCGGCCCGGCGGCGCGACGTCGAGCTTCGGCGTCACGCAGTCGAGGTGGTAGGCCTTGTCGCACAGATCGCAGTAGAGGAGGCGCGACTCGTCGTCGACTTTACTCTCGCCGCAGAGCTCGCAGACCTTGCAGTTCGGGCAGCGCCACGTCGCGCGCGCCGCGTCGGACATGGAGTCGATGGGCGTCGAGGCGCACATGGCGTGGCACGCCTCGCCGCAGTCGACGCAGAAGAGGAGCTCGCCGCCGCGCTTCGGCGCCTTTTTGACGAAAGCGAGGCCGTCCGCGGGCAGCGGCGGCTCGCCCGGCGACGAGTCGAGGCAGTCCTTCGTCTCGCCCGACCCGCAGACCACGCAGAGGTCCTGCCAGGCCGACGCGCGCGCGAGCTCGAGCGTCGGCAGCGACAGCTCGCAGACGGGCAGACACGACGCCGGGTCGCCGCAGGGCATGCGCTTGATGTTGACGACCTTCTTCACCGCCGTGCCCGCGACGCGGTCCTTGAGCACCGCCGTCGACTTGTGCTCCTTTTCGGCTTTCGCCTTGGCCTTGACGACGTCGCGGAGCTCCCGGGCCTTGAGCCCGTCCTTGGAAACGACGGACTTGGCGGGCTTGGGCGCGGGCGGGTCGAGCTCGTCGAAGACGTCGGCCGTCGCCGCGTCGAGGAAGCGGCAGGCCTCCTTCCAGTACTTGTCGCCGTCGCGGTTGAACTTTAAAGCGTTCAACACCATGAGCTCGCAGTCCGCGCGCACCAGCTGCGCGGACCGGTACTCGCCGCGCTCGGCCTTGCCGCGCATGGTCGCCAGGTCCATGGGGTGGCGCACGACCTCGAGGTAGCGCGCGTGGCCCCCGGGCCCGAGCACGGCCTCGGTGACGGGCTCCGCGAACAGCTTCCACTCGTCGATGGCCGCCAATTTCGCGACCAATTTCGCGCCGACCTTGACGGAGCAGCCGCCGCCGCACAGGAACTGGCGCCCGAAGGCCTCGTGGCTGCCGTCGGCCATGGCGGCCAGATCCGCCGCGTCGAAGCCCTCGCAGGCCGCGTGCGACCAGAGCCGGCAGCCCGGGCCGTCGCATTTCACGAGCTGGTCGTCGTCGTCCCAGGCCCGGCAGCACTTGGGGCAGAACTTGCCGTGGCGGTAGACGCCGACGCAGTCGCGGCAGAGGGGCTGGGGCTTGGGCAGCTCGTTGACCTTGGTTTTGGTGATCTTGCACTTGGGGCCGACGGCGCGCTGCGACCGGCCGCAGCCGAAGCACTCGAGGCAGTCCGCGCAGAGCCACGCGGGCCCGCGCTTCGTCAGCGCCGGCGGCTTCAGTAATTCGGGCCCGCCCCAGCAGGCGAGGTGGTAGACCTTGGCGCACTGGCCGCACTGCGCGGCGTTCGTGAGCGCGTCGCAGTTCCGGTGGTTGCACTCGACGCAGGCGCCGAGCTTCGTCGACGCCGACGGCTTGGGCGCCGGCGCCGCCGCCTTCTTCGCCGCGGGCCGCGCCGGCTCGTCCGCGGCGTCGTCGTCCGCGGCGGCCGCGGCCGCGACGTACGACACCTGCGGCGCGGCGGCGACCGCGGCGACGTCGACGGCGCCGCCGGCCTCGCCGGACGTGCGGTGGATCATGACGTCGGCGGGCAGGGCCCGGTCGCGGCGCCAGAGCGCGCGCTGCTTCTCGTACTCGGCGACCTCGAAGTCCGCCTCGCGCAGAGCCGCGAGGAGCTCGTTCGCCTTCTTGCCGCGCGTGCCCAGCACGGTCTGGATGCCGGCGTGGTTCGCGCCGCCGACCTCGTAGCGCGCGACGGACGGCGCGGACCGGTGGTCGCGCTTCTTGCCCTTTTTTTTCGCGGGCGGCGCGGCCCAGCCGCACTCGGAGCCGGCCTCGGAGCTGTCGTCGGGCCGCGGCACGACGGCCTGCTCCTCCGTGCCGAAGAAGATGATCATCATCTTCGAGTCGGGCTTGCCGTTCCACATCTTCATCGTGCCCGCGCGCTCCAGCGCCTCGCAGCAGACCCACTCCATCGCCGGCCACGCCGCGTGGCCGCTGAGCTTGACGACGTAGCAGTCGTAGGCGATCATGAGCAGCTCGTGGCCGCTCAGCATGTCGACCTCGTGGATCTCACCGTCGTCGTAGAGCACGGCGTGGAGCTGCGTCGCCTCGTCGAACCTGCGCGCGGCCGGCGTCTCTCGCGCGCGGAGGGCGGCCGGCTCCGGCGCGGCGGCGCGCGAGAGCACGCGCCCGAGGTACCAGGCGTTGTCGCCGGCCCAGTAGTGCTGCGGCGGGGGGCGCGGGTGCGCGCGCGGCCGCGCGGGAGCGGCGGGGCGGCGCCGCGGGGGCGCGCGGCGGCGGCGACCCGAACGCACCCGCAATCGCGAGCCGATGTAGCTCAGCGGACCAGCCTCCGGAATGTCGCGACAGACGGGCACGTCCAAGCGTTCGTCGACGGGCGGCGCCGCCGCGGCGGCGCGGCCCCGCTTCGGCGCCATGGCAGGCGCGAGAAGGGGGTCGCGGAGCACTCCAGCCGAGCCCGATTGCTCGAGCCTCGCTTCAAATGCTTGCGGTTTGCGTGGATGGCACATTCGGCTCCTTGAGCGGGCAGGCAGGGCAGCGGTCGGGGTTCAACCGAACGGGGGCAGCACAACGATGGTTGTAAGATTCTCGTGCGCCGTGCTCCTTTGCGCCGCCGCCGCCGCCGCGACGGACGCCGAGGACGCGCTGGCGAGCATCACGGCGCTGGTCACCCACGACGTCGCCGCGGCCGTCGCCGCGGCCCGAGCCGCGACGTCGTCCTTCGAGTCGGCCTACCCATCCGCGGACGCGGCCCGCCGGCTGTCGTCGTCCTTCGGGGGCTACATCGGCGAGGAGCACTGGACGTCGAAGGAGAACTGCGACGGCGACCCCTACCGCATCGACTACACGCAGCCCTTCTTCGACGCGTCCGGCGATTGCGACGGCCCCTACGCCGTCGACGGCCAGACCTTCTCCGCGGCGGGCACGTGCACGAGCGAGAGCGAATTCGAGGGCAAGACCTACCTCGGGGCGGGCTGCGAGGGCTACGTCGTCGACCAGTGGTCCGGCGACTACACGGGCATGTGCGCGCCGAACGTGGACGGCGACTTCAGCTATTCCTACAGCTTTTCCTACAACGACGTCGACGGCATGTTTCGCCGCAGCTGCGCGGCGCCGGACCCGGCCGACTACCTGGAGCTGACGATGTATCCCTTCGACGGCGGCGGCTGCGGCGACGAGTTTTCTTATCCTACGAAGCAGCTCTGGAACACGGCCCTCTGCCAGGACCAGGGCGGCACCGCGGTCCAGTACAGGTGCGACGACGACGACGGATTTCACATCGCCATCTTCGTCGGCAGCTCCTGCGACGGCGAGCCCTTCATGACCTACGGCGAGGGCGCCTTCCCCTACTCGGGACCGACGGGCGAGTGCCTCAGCTCCGGCGGAATGGGCTTCAAGGTCTCTTGTACGCCCTGGTTCGGCCTCCTCGACGGCGCGGCTTCGGCCGCGCCCGCCGCGCTCGCGCTGGCCCTCGCGTCCCTGGTCGCGACGCAGCTTTGAGTACCATCACCCGTAACATATCCCGCCCGGCCGGCGAAATTACTAGTAACATATCCCGCCGGCGGGATATGTTACCCGCCTAGAGCACGTCCGCGCCCGTCGCCTCGAGCTCGGCCTGGGGGCCGGTCCGGGCGACGCGGCGGGGCTTCTTGGAGACGTAGAGCCACGCCGCCGCTACGCAGAGGACGACGGCGACGACGGCGGCGGCGACGTAAAAAAAACGATATCCGCGGTCGTCGTCGACTTCCTCCTCGGCGCCCGGTAGTCAATGCGCGTAGTGCCAGGCGAGGAACTCGTCGCCGATCGTCGCGCGGATGTACTGGGGCACGCCGCCGTGGCGCGGCGCGTCGTCGCCGTCGAAGAGCGTCCACTTGAGATCCGCGTCCGACGTATCGTCGGGCGAGCCCGGCAGCCCCTTCGCGGCCCAGAGCTCCGTCACGGGCTCGAGCGTCTTCGCCGTCGGCACCGTCGTGTCCGCGCTCGAGGACAGGACCCACTGGGGCGTCTTCGCCACGAGCGACGCGTCGAAGGACCAGGGATCGAAGAAGTCGGAGATGCTCACGGCCGCGAAGAGCTGCGCGTCGTCGTCCAGGAGCTTCCACGTGCCGCCCGCTCCGTTCGAGTGGCCCGTGACGAAGGCGCGCGACGAATTGACGGCGAGCCCGACGGATCGCGTGCCGTTGAGGTAGGCCTTTGCGAGCTCTCGAACCGCACTGGCCGCCGGATCCTCGAACCACGCGCCGCTGGCGAGCTGCGGGGCGACGAGGATCGTCGCTTCTCGTTGTGCTTTCCAGTCCGCCCATATATAGCAGGGCTCGCCGCTGCCCAGCTGCTTCGCGTTGTCCGTCCCGAGGCTGCCCGAGGAGTGCAAGCAGAGCGTCATCGGGTAGGAAGCTTGGGACGTGCCGTCCGGGATATAGGTCTGGACTTTGAACGTGACGCCGTTCGACGTGAAGTCGTCGGCCGCGAGCCAGCCTCCGGCCCGGCTGGTAGCAACGCTTACGGCTGCGAGAATGGCGCGCATCGTGAGGAGTTTCGTCTTCGATACCGTCGAACATGTCAAAGTTTTCCTCCTCTCGCGCGCGGCATGCGCGCCCGTCTCGAGCCTCTGCCACTGCTGAGACACCCTCTGCGCATCACTGCTGCAGCAGCAAGGCAGCCATGCGACGCGTCGTAATCCTTGCCGCCTGCGCCAGCGCTTTCCGACCATACTCAGCGCTGCGACCACACAGAGCGCCGCTGCGCGCCGGCGACGACGGCTGCGCCGAGGCCGTCGAGGGCGACGTCGTGGCCTTCGTCTTCCCGGAGACCGGCGACCGGCCGGACCTCGCGGGCGCGCGGCGACTCGGCGTCGTGAAAGCGGAGATGAGCTGCACCGCCTGGGTCCAGCCGCTCGTCGACGAAACTCCCGACCAGGACGACTGCGTGCTCGTCGAGGACGAGAGCTTCGAGGAGCCGGTCCAGGTGCAGGGCGGCATCGAGGCCGTGCTCGACGACGCCGCCTACGGCCAGTTCGCCGTGCCGTCCTTCGACGGCTGCGAGGCGTACGGCGCGGCGGCCGTCGAGTGCTGGACCGTGTGCCGCGACGCCGTGCCCGCGGGCGTCGACGTGCCCGCGGGCGCGGACGGCGCCCCGGACCCGCCGTGCCACGCGGACGAGCTGCGAATTTAAGAAACGAATTGTGCCGCCGTCACATGCCGCCCCAGTGCGCGTCGTCCCCCCGCTCCGCGCGCGGGTAGATGGCGTGGCCCGTGAGCTTGCTGCAGCCCAGCAGGTTCAGGCTTTTGAGCTTCGCGAGGCCGTTGACGTGGTTCCGGGGCCCGCGGAGGAGGTAGCAGCAGTGGAGGTTCAACACCTCGAGGTTCGCGAGCTTCGAGACGGGCGCGAGCGTCCCGGAGATCTCGTAGCAGCAGGAGAGGTCGAGGTGCCGCAGCCTCGCGAGGCGCTCCAGGGGCTCGAGCGTGCCGCCGAGCGCGTGGCACTCGCGGAGCTTGAGCGTCTCCAGCTTCGCGAGCGCGCCGACGTGCTCGAGCGTGCCCGTCACGTGGCGGCACGAGTACAAATCGACGTGGACGAGGTTTTTCGACGCGTGGAGCGGGTAGAGGGACCCGTCGAGCTCCCAGCACGAGAGGAGCGACAGCGACTTGAGCAATGGCAGCCCCGCGAGGGGCCACAGGCTGCCCGTGACGGCCGCGCGCCGCAGGTCGACCTCCCGCAGTTCCTTGCACCCCAGCAGCGGCTCCAGCGTCCCCTGGAGCTTGCGGCAGGCCTCGACGCGCACGGTGCGCAGGCGCGGCAGCGCGGCCAGCGGCTTGAGGTCGGAGAGTAGAGACCGCGACACGTGGAGCGTCTCGAGGTACGGCGCGACGGCCGCCTGGGCAGCAAAGAGTGATTCAACGTCGCTTCAACGTGAGTGTTCCGCGCGCGCGCGTTCCAAAGAAAGCATCCATGCTTCGAGGCCGTTCCGAGAGATGATCGCTCGTCCAAAAATCAGCCGAAACGAGTGGAAAACGGCCGAGACAGGAGCCTTTGAAGTTGGGAATGTCGCTCTCTTTTCCTGCCCCGACGGCCGCGAGGCGGTCCACGTCCCGCGCCCGCAGCGCGAGGGCCGCGCCCGTGATCCGGAACTTGCGCCCGACGCGCTCGAGGCCCTCGAAGTCGAGCACGAGGCCGGGGACGTAGGACAGGTCCGCGGCGACGCGGCACCGGCGCCCCAAATCCCGGAAGCGCCGCGCGGCGGCCTCCACGCGGCACGCGGCCACCGCGCCGGCGAACTCGACGGCGAGCGCCAGCAGGGGCGGCGGAACGGCGTCGAGCAGGCCCTGCGGCGGCGCGCCGTCGTCGCCGCCGTCGCCGGCTTCCGAGTCGCCCTCCCAGTCGCCGAGGCCTTCCGGCGGCGCGACGCGCCGGACGCCGTCGTCGCCGCGGCGATGGTCGTAGGGGGCGGCGCCGGAGGCCGCGGGCGGCGCGTAGGCCTCGAGGTCGACGCCGCCGACCGCGGGCGGCGGCGGCCGCGCGCGCGGCCGCGGCGGCGGCGACGCCGCGAGCCACTCGGCCATGGTGCGCCCGCGCGGCTCCCGGGGGAACGTCCGCCGCGCGAAGAGGCGCAGCAGCTCCGCCTCGGCGCGCTCGCCCAGCGTCCGCCGCGCGTCGGGCGGCGACGAGCCCGCGGGGGACGAGGAGGAGGCCTGGTCCTCCTCGTCGTCGTCGACGCCCCGGGGCCGCCGGATCGCCGCGGCCGCCGCCTGGCGCGCGCCGGCGACGAAGGAGTCCTGGGCGAGGAACCTGCGCCCGAGCCCCACGAGCTTGAGCCAGGGGACCTCGCGACCTCCCGGGGCGCAGCTCTGCTCCATAGCTGCCCCGAAAAGTGCAACGTTGATGGGAAAACAAGAGTGTTGACCCGGGGCCGCGCGCAGTCTGGGCAGCGCCGCGCCCGGCGCCGCCGGCGCCATGGCGCCCAAGGCCGGCGCCCGCTCGCTGCTGGGCGTGGGCGCGACGCACAAGGTCATCGACCACTACGCCGGCATCGCGCCGGAGGAGGCCGGCGTCAGCGAGTCCGACGACGAGAAGAAGGAAAAGCAGCTCACGTCGCTCCAGCTCATGTTCGAGGACGACCCCGAGGAGGCCGCGGGCGTCGTCGACGACGGCGTCGCGGCGCGGCCCGCCGACGTGCGGCCCGTGTTCCTGCGCGTCACCGTCGTCGACGGCGTGCTCGCGCGGACGAAGCCCGGCGATTGCGAGGGCGCCGTCGCGTATCCGATAGCGCGGCACCGCGTCGTCATGGCCGTGAGCCGCACGTCGATCCGCGACAAGGACCTGCGCATGCCCGTGCGCTGGTACCGCGTCAACCCGGCGAAGAAGGACGCCGACTCCGTCTACAAGCGCGGCGCGGGCGGCGGCGACGCGCGGCGCGGCGGCTGGATCCGGTCCATGCGGCGCACCGTGGGCATGACGGAGGTGCCGGCCGCGCGTACGCCGCGTGGCGACTTTTTTTTTCTGTGGCCGGGGAACCAACATCGCTAGGTCGTCGAGGCGACGCGCGTGGAGTACATGGAGCAGGTGCGGCGCGAGTTGGACGAGCTCGAGGCCGTCGTCGACGAGGCGTCCCACGCGCTCATCGAGGCGGACACGCGGCACGCCGTCGCCTACGTGTCGCGGGCCGCGCGGCTCCTGGAGCGGCGCGGCAGCCTCATCGAGGCGTTCGGCGCGATCACGGCCAAGGTCGAGGTGTCGATGGAGGCGCGGAAGGCGACCGTGGAGGCTTTGAAGCTCGAGCTCCAGCTCAAGGCCGAGGGTTTAGGCAGCGCGCACGCGGACACGACGGCCATGAACAGCGCCCAGGCCGTCTTCGTCGCGGGCAACCGGGAGGCCATGGACAAGGCGTCCAAGGGCGACCTCCGCTACAAGCCCATGCTCGTGCTCAAGTTCCTCGCGTCCTTCGCGGCGACGACCCACGACCCGCGGGGGACGCTCTGGACGACGCTGTTGGGCGTGCTGGGCAAGGTGAACATCTTCCTCCTGAAGTCGAACCATCGAAGGTTGAACGCGTACCACGCGAAGAACGGGGCAGCAAAAGAGAGCGAACTTCCCAACTTCAAAGGCTCATATCTCGGCCGGTTTCCACTCGTTTCGGCTGATTTTTGGACGAGCGATCATCTCTCGGAACGGCCTCGAAGCGTGGATGTCTTTCTTTGGAACGCGCGCGCGCGGAACACTCACGTTGAAGCGACGTTGAATCACTCTTGTGCTGCCCAGGCGAAGAAGATCGCCGCGTCGAAGCACAGCTCGCTCCGCGACGACATCCTGGTGGGCCTCGCGGCGGCGGGCGACGTCTCGGCGGTGCGCGACCTGCTGGACCGCGACTTCTGCGCCGCGGGCGGCGGCGCGAACGCGCACCACTCCGCGGCGCACACGCCGGCGCTCATCGCGGCCGTCAAAAGGGGCGCCGTCGACACGGTCCGCGCGCTCCTCGAGGAGGGCGCGGACGTCGACGCCACGGACGAGCTCACGCACGAGCGGCCGTTGCACGTCGCGGCGGCGCGGGGCGACCTGCCCGTGGTGAAGTGCCTGCTGAAGTTCGGCGCGGACCGCTACGCGACCGTCGACGACGGCTTCGACGAGTTAAGGCCCGGCCCGACGGCGAACCGCCTCGCGACGGAGCACGGGACCATCGCGAAGAACTGCGGGAAGGACGACTCCGGCCACGTCGCCTGCGCCAAGGTGTTAAGGTTGGAGCCGCCGACGGTGGAGCGCGTCCGCGTCTTCTCGTGCGACGACCGCTCCGTGACGATCGCGTGGCCCATCCCGGGCCGCCACAAGTCGGCCGTGGCGTCCTACGCCGATGAATTGGTCGAGGCCTACCGGGTCACGGCGGTGCAGATCGGCCTCGCGGGCCACCTCGCGACGCGCGTCGTGGAAGAGCGTCGGCAGAAGTGCGTCCGCGAAGCCTCGCCGCACGACTACATGATCACGATCCACGACCTGCCGTCGCTGCAGGCGCTGGACTGCACCGTCGCCGCGCGGACGGCGGGCCTCTACGGCCGCGAGTCGGCGCGCGTCCTGGGCTTCACGCAGGGCCGGCGGCCGCGGCCCACGGGCGCGCCCCGGCTGACGCGGATCGCGCGCGACTCCGTCAGCGTCGAGTTCACGCCCATCCCGTTGACGGGCACGGACGCCATCTCCAAGGGCGAGCGGAAGAAGATGGGCGCGGCCTTCGCGCGCATGGCGCCCAACGACGCCTACGAGTGCCAGCTCTGCGTGTCGCACCCGTTCCGCGCGGGGCAGGAAAAGAGAGCGACATTCCCAACTTCAAAGGCTCCGATCTCGGCCATTTTCCCCTCGTTTTGGCTGACCTTTGGACGAGCGATCATCTCTCGGACCGGTCTCGAAGCGTGGATGTATTTTCCGTAACGCGCGCGCGCGGAACACTTACGTTGAAGCGACGTTGAATCACTCTTGTGCTGCCCAGGTTCCGCGCGGGCCACGACGACCCCCCGAACTACCGGCGCGACATGCTCGTCCTCGACGCCGGCGACGACGACGACGACGACGCCTGGGTCGCCTACGACTCCGCCGACGACTCCGACGACGAGGAGAACGCCAAGGATCCGGCCTGGAAGTTCAAGCACATGACGTGGGTGCTCCACTGCGTCGCGTCCAAGGTCGTCGACGCGGACTCGTGCGACGCCGGCGGCGTCGAGCCGCCCCTCGTGAAGATGGACGGCGTCCGATCCGCCGTGAAGAAGTTCCTGCTGAGCTGGCGCGCGCGGCCCCGCGACGACGGGTCCCGCGGCGGCTCCGACGGCTCCGACGACGACGACGACGACGACGCCGCGGCGCCGCTGGAGATGCCCAAGCTCTGGCTGCGCGCGCGGGGCCGCAACCGCTACGGCTGGGGCGAGTTCTCGAAGCCGACCTGCGTCGGGCGCCCCCGGGAGCCGCTGGTCAAGGTGCTGGACAAGACCACGGACTCGGTGACGATCGCCTGGGACGCGCTGGATCGCTCTTCCTGCGGCTACGAGGTCATCTACAAGACCGTGTCCGTGACCGGCGGCTGGTCCATGCACGGCTCGGCGCACCGCATGGGCAGCCTCCACGGCGTCTCCCGGGACGAGATGGAGGCGGGCAACCTGTTCAACCCGCGGCTCCGGGCCGAGACGGACAACTCCGGGAACCTCGTCGAGGCCACCCTCAACCTCATGAAGCTCGACGGCTTCGACGACGACGACGCGGCGCTCAACGCCGCGGGGGGCAAGGCCGTGACCTTCGCGGAGAACGTCGCCGGCGGCGAGGTCAAGTCCAAGGTCGCGAAGCGCCGGTCGGGCTTCTTCGCCGTGAAGACGCGCGAGGACCGCGACCGCCAGGGCAGGAAAAGAGAGATTCAACGTCGCTTCAACGTGAGTGTTCCGCGCGCGCGCGTTCCGGAAAAAAGCACCCACGTTTCAAGAGCGCTCCGAGAGATGATCGCTCGTCCAAAAATCAGCCGAAACGAGCGGAAAACGACCGAGATAGGAGCCTTTGAAGTTGGGAATTTCGCACCCTTTTCCTGCCCAGGCGACCGCGCGCGCGGCCGCGACTACGACGACTGGACGCTCGTGGCCCGGGACCTCACGAAGCAGACCTACACGATCAAGCGGCTCCGGGCGGGCAAGTTCTACGACTTCCGGGTCCGCGCGTGCCCCTTGATCGGCGAGCCCCACAAGTGGGTCCACGGCGCGTCGCTGCGGCGGCCGGTCGCGACCGAGCCCATCCGGCCGGAGCCGCCGCCGAAGCCGACGCTGCCGCGGCGCCTCGACGAGGACGAGCGCACCGTGCTGAGCGGCGACGACGTCGCGCCGCCGCTCACCGCGCGGGGCCGGCCGCCGATGCTCGGCGCGGCGGCGGGCCGGGCCGCGGAGCGAAATAAGGCCGCGGAAGTCGCCGTGGAGAAGCAAAAACAGAAGAAGCGCAAGGAGGAGGCGCGCCTCGCGGGCCGGGACGTGGAGATCGACGCGGGCAAGAAGCGGCGCGGCGCCGAGGTCGGGAGGACCTACGAGGACGAGGGCGGGCTGCTGGGCAAGTGCACGACGAGCCTCGCGCTGCCCTCGGAGACGAACGGCGCGGACGTCGTACACATGGAGCTCCAGGTCGACAGCGAGCTCGTCCGCGACCTCGGGGCGCACGAGGCCGACGTCGCGGACGACGGCGAGGACACGACGAGCCACCTCGTCAAGGACGTCGACGTGCTCACGCGCGACGCCGTGCCGCTCCTCATCTTCCCGGGGCGGCGCTACACGCTGCGGAGCCGCGCGAAAAACGTCGCCGGCTGGTCCGCCTGGGGCTTCCCCATCACCTTCGACACGCCGCCGGGCCTCCCGCCGCCGCCGCTCGTCGTCCTCGAGCGCAAGCAGCAGCTCGTGCGCATCCGCATCGACCGGCCCGCGCCGCTGGACTTCCGCATCTTCCAGCGGCGGGAGCTCGTGCGCGCGGGCGGCGCGCTGGACCTCTTCGCGGGCGACGCGGGCCACAAGGGCTCCGGCGAGCGCCTCGAGAAGCTTGTCGCCGCCGGGGCAGGAAAAGAGAGCGACATTCCCAACTTCAAAGGCTCATATCTCGGCCGTTTTCCACTCGTTTCGGCTGATTTTTGGACAAGCGATCATCTCTCGTAACGGTCTCGAAGCGTGGGTGTTTTTTCCGGAACGCGCGCGCGGAACACTCACGTTTAAGCGACGTTGAATCACCATTGTGCTGCCCAGGTCGCCGCGGAGCCCACGGGGCTCTACGAGGTCGAGTACCGCGACGTCGCCAAGGCCCGCGAGGACCCCAAGGTCAAGTGGCAGCTCAAGAGCACGACGTCGAAGCACAAGAAGCTCCGCCTGCTCCTGGACCACCTCACGCGCGGCCGCGAGTACGAGATCCGCTCGCGCGCGCGCTACGCCCACGGCTGGTCGCGCTGGGGCGACCGCCTCTTCACGACGACGGTCACGTAAGTTGACATCAGGCATGCTTATGCGACGTCGCCGGGAACACCTTATTTGCTTCACTTGCAAAAACATGCATGAGCCAGTCCTTGGGCTTTGGCGCGACGCGCATGAAACGTCGAACCATGTCCAAATACCATGAGATGACGCCCGCTTTGTCGTGCAAAAAGTCCTCGAACGGGTGCATCATAACAGCCCGACTGTTGGAGACCCAGCACTGTTCCCAAACATCCCACTCGTCCCAATCCTCCTTGGTGCCCCAATTCAGTTTCTTGTAGGACCGTACGCGGTCGTACGCGCTACGATTGACCATAAACGTAACTTGCTGGTGGCACTGTCGCGTCAGGTTATGCACAAATTCGTGGCTCTTCGTCAGTATGATGTCGACATGTTTGTCCGTGTGCGAGCAGTTCCCAGAGGCAACGTTGTGTCTGCATGCGTTCCAATAGCCCAAGCTTGTGAACGACATCTTATTCTCTGCGGCAGTGAGCTTGAGCATATTTCGCAGTATTTTGGTTTGCAGTGTGCTCCCGCTTCGTGGGCTTGACGCCATGACCACCATGAGTCGGCAGGTTTGCACATACGATGGACTTTCCCATTGCTTCGCGATGGGAGCGTATTTGTAAATCGGTTCTCGGAGGCACTTTCCATTCGTTTCCAAGTGGCCATTCGGCATGTGTTCTTCCATGGTCGGTGCACGGCGGTGTGTCATGGCTTGTTTGGCACGCGACGAATGTCTTCTCCCATGCCGGTGTTTGCCACCGTTCGGCCCCGCGGCGACGAATCGTCGACCCCAGCCCCGGTCGGGCCGGTCGTCCCAGTCGGCGTCGGCGCCGGCGTCCAGGGCGGCGTCGCAGACGAGGCGGACGCCCGTCGCCGCCTCGACGACGCCGACGCGCGCGAGGAAGACGTCGAGCGCGCGAGCGTAGAGCGCCTCGTGCGTCGTCATGGCCCGCGCGATCGCGGCCGCGGACTCGACGCGGAGCGAGAGCGCGTCGTCGGCCTTGGCGCACGCGAGGTGGTCGCCGCGCTGGCAGGCCTGGGCGTTCCGCGCCGCCGCGCGCGCGCCGGCGTCGTCGCCGCCGCGGCTCGCGTTGCGGCAGTCGCAGCCGCGTGCGAGGCCTCCGCCGAACTGGAAGCGGATGAGGCAGAGGCTCGCCGCGTAGTGCTCCGTGACGCCGAAGACCGTGGACTCGAGCCGCGCGCGCGCGACGGCGAGCTCCGGCGGGCAGTTCCTGTCGCCGTCGAGGCGCCGCGGCACGAAGTCGCGGAGGGGCTGGAAGAGGCCGCAGGCCGCGCGCGCGGCGCCCGGCGCGAAGCAGCCGTTTCCGACGACGGCGTCGACGGCCGGCCCGCGCGCGTGCTGCCGCGAGTGCTCCATGGCGCTCAGGGCCCAGGGCACGGCGCCGCGCAGCATCGTGACGACGACCGGCGCGGCCGCCGCCTTGTCGAGCGCGCGGTCCCAGCGACTCTCGGTGCTCACGAAGCACGGGCGGTCGGCGCTCGGGCCCGCGACGCGGGAGGCGCCGGGGGCCGCCGCGGCGACGCGGGAGGCGCCGGAGGCCGCCGCGGCGACGCGGGAGGCGCCGGAGGCCGCCGCGGCGAGGAGCACTCCGCCGCGGCAGGATCCGCGCCCGAGCACGTCGACGAGGTCCTGCTTGAGCGCCCGGCCGCCGGTCTTTGGAACGTGCACGTGGACGATGGGCAGATTTGTGGCGTTCGGGCACGGCATGGAGACGACGCCGCGCGCCGCCGGGCACTGGAGCGCGGCGGCGATCTTCGCGACCTCGGCGGTGCGCAGCGCCGACGCGGCGGGCGTCGCGCAGGGCGTGGACCCGACGAGCGCCAGCAGGAGCGCGGCGAGCATGGCCTTCATTCGGGCTCGTCCAGCGCGCGCATGCAGCCGGCAGCGTAGCAGACGATGGGGCTGCTCGGCTGCTAATCCACTTCATCGAGGCTGCATCATGTTTCTTGAAGACCATAATTGGCATTATGTGGCTGCCCCATCCTTCGATGTGGTCGCGATTCGCAATCCTCATCGCCGTCGCCATCGCCGCCTCGGACTCAAACTCCCGCGTCGCCGTCGGCATGTCCCGCGCGCGGGCCTTCCGGAGCCCGTCCTGCGCCGCGAAGCGCGAGCGCCAGGGCGCCTACTTTGAGCGGTGGGTCGCGCCGGGCGCCCACGCGACGACGGTCGTGCTGTCGGCGCGCGTGCCGCTCCGGGCCGTCGCCGAGCCCCTGCGGCGGCGCGGCCGCAACGGCACGATCGACGTGATCTACGTCGGGAACCAGAAGGCGGGGTCGACGACGTTCACGCGCGAGCTCGGCGCCGTGCTCCGCGCGGCCGTCGACGCGCGGTGCGCGTGCCTGGGCGAGCAGTGCGTGCGCTGGGACCGGAACTGCGCCCGGGACCGCGCGACGCTGCCGCTGTCGCCCGTGGGCCGCGACGACGCCGTGGCCTTCACGTTCGTGCACGACCCCGTCCACGTCTTCTGGGCCGGCGTCCGCCAGGCCCTGTGCCACCGGCGGGAGCGCGAGGAGCACGACCACCCCCACAACTCGTCGTTCCTGCGGCTGCCGCCGGAGGAGTGGCCGTCGGTGGCGGGGCTCGAGGCGCTCCTCGACGACATGCGGAACGCGCGCTACGTCGGCGAGCCCTTCTTCCACGCGTGGCCCCAGGCCGTCAAGGTCGACGCGCGGCTCCCCGCCGCCGGCGACGCGGGCCCGCTCCCGCTCGCCTTCGTCGGGGAATTATCGCACCTCGACGAGGACCTCGCGGCCGCGTTCGGCGGCTCCGCGCCGCCGAACGACAACGCGCCCCACGGGACGCGGTGCGAGGCCGAGCTGGAGGCGGCCGTCGCGAACCTGCCGAGGGCGGCGAACCGCACGGTCTGCGACCTCGTCGCCGTCGACTTCGAGTGCTTCGACCTCCCCCGGAGCCCGTCCTGCGCCGTCGACGACTAAGGGCCTCTAGTTCTTCCAGCGCCGGAACCATTCGCAGTGGTCCCAGCGCAGGTGGTGGTAGACCGGCGCGCCGCGGTCCACGAAGGGCCCGCGCGTCCGCACGTCGAGCAGGCCGAGCATCTCCTGGTTTTCGATGCCGCCCGTCTTGTGCGGGAACGCCTCGTACCAGCCGTCGCGCTCGCGGTGGCCGTAGCAGCAGCCGTCGCCGACCCACTCGTCCGGCGGGGCGCTCGCGTTCTTGCGGTCCGGCCGGTAGCACGCGTCGGCCGCGTCCCCCGGGTGCGCGCGCATGGGCCCGCCCTTGGAGCACGGCGCGTCGTCCGTCGCGGTCCACGACTCGTTGGAGAAGCCGCCGTGGAGGAGCCGGAACATGTAGACGCGCTCCACGGCCGGGTGGATGGGCCAGAACGAGGGGTCCAGCGCGAGGGACGCGTGGTCGCCGGAGAGGAAGCCGACCATGTGGTCGCGGAACGCCCGGCCGACCTTGCCGAAGCCCCTGGGCGTCGCGAGCTCGTCGACGCGCGACGCGACGGCGTTCTTCATGTCCGCGGAGAGCTGCGCTCGCACGATCTCGCGCCCCAGGGCCTCGTCGGTGACGCCCGGCGCGACGGACGCGACGCAGGACGTCGCCGGCCCGGCGCACGCGTCCGGAAAGTCGATGAAGTGGTGCCGCCACAGCGCGCGGTGCGACGCGAAGGGCTGGATCTGCGCAAAGGTCCGCGCGACGCTGGGCTGGGCCGCGAGCTCGCCGACGCGCTTCGCCAGGCCCGAGCGCCGCAGCGCGGTCTCTGTCGCCTGCGTGTTCCACTTCATGCCGCCGCCGATGCCCGCGTGCGCGGGCCCGTGCGGTAGGAATTCGACGTTCCGGATCCACCACGCGGCCGTGCGGAGCGCCGGCGCCTGCTGCGGCGGCGGCTTGACGACCGCGAAGACCATCATGCAGTTCGGGAAGCGGCGGTTCGTCGCGAAGCGCGTCACGTACGGGCTCGGGTTCTGGTTCCACGGGGTCCGTAGCAGACCGTAGGCGTTCGCGGGCGACCCCGGCGGTGCGTCCGCGACCGTGCCGACGCGCTCGAAGGCCCAGCGGCCGTCCTGGATGGCGAACTTGGCGTACATGGGCTCGCGCCAGTCGCTCGCGTCGAGGTCGACCCAGGAATGGTTAATCGTGCCGAACATGCGCGGCGAGAAGATGTCCGTGTGGTACTCGTCGTCGAGCTCGCCGCGCCAGAGCTGCGCGTTCTCGATGGTCTGGTCCCAGTAGGGCAGCGTCAGGGCTTTGTCGACGGCCTGGAGGCCCTTCTCGAAGACGAAGGACATCTTCGCGTGCTGCGAGAGGAACCCAAATCCCTCGTGGAAGTGGTCCGCGTCGCGCTGCCCCGCGTTCTGCAGGTGGATGTTCGCGAGCTCGTGCACGCTCGTGTAGTTGGGGCCGTATTTTTTGCGTCCCGCGGGCCCGTCGACGCGCCAGAGCACCTCCATGGCGTCGAGCGTCGCGTCTAAATCGTCCCGCGACAGCTCCCGGAGCTCCCGGCGCACGTGGAGCGCGAAGAGTTCGCCGTCGACGCGCCGCGCCTCGCCGCCCGCGCAGGCCGCCTCCTCGAGGACGAGCGCGTAGGCGCCGGCGGCGTCGAGCGTGACGGGCTCGGGCTTCGCGCCGTCGAGGCGTACCGCGCGGCCGCCCGCGTCCGTCAGCGTCCAGGTCGTCGCCTCGCAGGCGGACCGCGCGCCCTTGGCGCGGAGCGTGAAGGGCCGCGCGACGTCGACGACGACGTGCGTCGCGTCGACCCAGGGCAGCTGGCCGGCGATGGGGTGGCCGATGCGCGTCGTGTAATCATTCGACGCCTCGAAGCGCAGGCGCGAGGCGGACCCGACGACGCGCGGCGCGACGACGAGCGCGAGCGCGAGCGCGCGCAGCATCGCGCCGCGGGGACGTAAGCCGGCTTTGTTCATTCAGCCTTGGTAGACTCGCATTCCGGCGAGGCGGCGGCCCATGCTGATGGAACAATTATTGAGGAGCATGGTGTCGTCATCATTCCCACGAGCAGCAGGCCCTCGCCGCCCAGCAAACGACGACCGACGCCCTCGCGACGCGCCGCGGCCACACCCGAGGTCCTAAAAAGCGATGGTTAGATGGCGACGTCGCCGTCCTTCTGCGCGACGAGCTCCAGCGCGGACCGCGGCGGCGGCGCGGGCGCCTCCGCGGTCGCCGCCGCCTCCTCGAGCCGCTCCGCGACGGCCGCGGCCGTGACGTTGCCCGCCAGGTGGCCCGCGACCATGTGGAACAGGCACGCCAGCGTCAACAGGAAGCAGCCGTCGAGCACCTCGAGCGCGAGCGTGAAGCACGACGCGTCGTCGCCGAGCGTCGAATCGAAGAACGTCGCGAGGAGGCCGTCGACGTCCTTGCACTCGTCCTTCGCCAACGACGTCGCGACGTCGCCGAACTGCGTCGCCGCCGCGACGACGGAAACCACAAAAACGTCGAGGCTGCTCCAGCCGTAGAGCACGTCCGCCGCCGCGAGCAGCTTCGACTGCGCCGACGGCGGCAGCGGGACGCCGTAGAGCAACACCAAGACGACGCAGTGGGCCAGCGGGATCAGGAACGCGAAGATGGCCGACACCCAGGTCAGGAACCGCACGAGGGGCCGCCAGCCGTCCTCCGGCGTGCAGCCCCGCAGCGCGAAGATCGCGCCCGCCGCCGAGTAGTCGCGCGTCGCTTCGCCCGTCCGCGTCTCGTCGATGAGGAACCCCGCGGCGCCGCCGACCTCGAAGCGGATCACGTCGACGGTGAAAGCGTAGGCGAGCATGGCGAAGACGCCCGCGAAGAGCGGCGCGACCGCCGCCTGCCACCAGCGCGGCCGCCGCCCCTTGTACCGGTGCGACCGGAGCGGCGCGCACCGCGCCGCGGCCGCGACGGGCTCCATGCGCGGGAAGATGTCGTCGTCGTCGACGCTCCGGTCCTCGGGCGTGAGCATCTCGACGATGGACGTCTTCAGGGACGCCAGCTCCTCGTCCGCGCGGTCGCCGCCGTCGCTCGAGCCGTCGCTCGCGGCGTCGTCGTCGCCGTCCGCGGCCGCGGGCGCGCCCTCGGGCAGGGACCGCGCGTCGTGGACGCCGTCGTCGCCGTCCGCGGCCGCGGGCGCGCCCTTTGGCAGGGACCGCGCGTCGTGGACGCGGTCGCTCTCGTCGCCGAAGCGCCGGCCGTAGTGGTGCACCTCGCGGTGGAGGTAGAGCACGACCTGGCCGAGGGCCATGGACGTCAGGGTCGCGACGCAGAACGCGTAGAACCCCGTCCGCATCTCCACGAACGTCTCGAAGTCGAAGGACGCGCCCGGCGCGTCGATGGGCGCGTGGACGTAGAAGGCCACGACGAGAAAGACGACCGTGAACACGTCGATGAACGACCACTTCGAGAGCATCTCCACCGTGCGCCAGACCTTCTCGCGCGTCCGCGGGTCGAGGCCGGACCGCGTGTAGCCCCAGATCAGCAGGAAGATCTCGAGGTAGGGCCAGGCGCCGCTGAGCAGCGCGATGAGGAGCGCGAGGAGGTAGCTCCCCGAGTGCCAGAGCTCCTCGACGGACTCCGCGAGCGAGAATTTCGAGCCCGTGTCGACCCAGATGGTCTTCTCGCCCGCGCCCTCGAGGTAGAACTTGAGCCGCAGCCGCACCTCCGCGGCGACGGACACGTTCGACGCGACTAACAAACCCGTGTTGCAGACCATGACCAGGAGCAGCAGCGCCTTGAGCGGCCGCGGCAGGGGCGCCTCGGCGATGAGCGACGGCCGCCGCGGCCTCCGGTAGCCCCCGAGCTCGTCGTTCGCCGTCGCGTCGCCGACGGCCTCCTCGACGACGAAGCTCCCGTCGCGGTCCGCCAAAACGTCGTCGTCGCTCGCGGCCTTGGCCTCGTCGTCGAACGCGGCGTCGCGGAGCCCCGGGACCGCGAGGCCGTCCGCCGACGGCTTCGGGTCGCGCGCGCGTTTCCGCAGCGCGCGCCGCACCGCGGGCCGCGCGCGGCGCTTCGCCCAGATGAGCCCGAAGCTCAGGAACATGGACGCGAGGAGCCCGACGACCGTGAGCATCTCGTAGGTCAGCTTCAGGCCGCCGTGGAACCCCTCGGCGTCGCGCCGCGCCTTCGCCGTGGGCCGCTCCCCCCGGACGTCGCGCCGGTCCGCCACGGGCGCGCCCGGGCGCTGCGCCACGCAGGCGTCCTTGACGTCGGCGAGGCGCGCGTCCAGCACGTCGTTGAAGAGCCAGACGAGCTCCGTCCGCATGTCGGCCGCGTCCGCGTATTCTCCGATAAGAAACGCCGCGGACTGCACCGCGGACTCGACGACGCCGTCGATGTTCTCGCGGTCGCTCCAGGCCCGGGCCCGGACGGACCCGACGTGGAGCTTCGGCGCGTCGACGACGCGGACGCCCTCCAGCGACGCCGCGAGGCACTCGAGGCTCAACGAGCCCGCCGACGAGAAGACCTCGCCGAGCCCCAGGTCGTCGCCGCTCAGCGCGTTCAGCGACGACCCGTCCACCCACGCCTCGACCTCGAAGTCGTCGAGGCGCACGCGCTCGAAGGTCACGTTGAACGCGATGGACGCGTCGCCGAGCGGCGATTCGACGTCGACCGACAGCCCCGCCGACAGGCCCGCGGTCGAGTCCGGCGGCGCGTCGTAGCCCACGCGGGCCTCGGCGAGGTTGAAGCGCTGATGGGTCTCGAGGGCGCTCGCGCCGCCGGGGAAGAGCGTGAGATTCGCCAGGGAACGATCCGCGTCCGCGATAAAAACGTCGTAGAACCGCAGCGTCGTCGCCATGACGCTGATGCGCACGGCCTCGGCCTCCTTGGCGACGACGATGAGGTGGTCGTCGTCGCGGGCGACGCGCTGGCGGAAGCGGTCCCGCGCGGTGCCGGACACCGCGTCGGGCTCGTCGTCGTAGGACGCGACGGACGAGCCCGCCGCGTACCTGGGCGGGAAAAGGGTGCGAAATTCCCAACTTCGAAGGCTCCTATCTCGGTCGTTTTCCGCTCGTTTCGGCTGATCTTTGGACGAGCGATCATCTCTCGGAACGGTCTCGAAGCGTGGGTGCTTTTTCCGGAACGCGCACGCGCGGAACACTCACGTTGAAGCGACGTTGAATCACCCTTTTCCTGCCCTGCCGCGTACGTCGCCAGGGACCGCGCGGTCTCCGCGACGTCGAAGCCGTTGGCGTAGCGCGCGACGCGCCGCGCGAGCGAGCTTTCGTTGAGCGCCACGAGGGCCCCGTCGTCCTCCGCGGCCGCCCAGTCCGGCCGGGCCGCGCAGTCGGCCGCGCACGTCGCCGCGACGCGCGGCGCCGTCGCCGTCGCGGCGACGGCCCGCCGCGCCGCCGCCGTGGCCCCGGACCGCCCGTCCGTGCGCACGAACTCGTCGACGGCGCAGTGGCTAAAGTCCCAGAAGCCGTGCTCGATGAGGTCGACGGTCGCGGGAATGATCGTCGCGGCGACGTCGTCCTCGAGGTCGTAGTTGAGGTCGCCGCCCCGCCGCGCGGCGAAGGTCGAGGCCACGACGTCGACGGGCGTGCGCGTGTAGTTGACGTAGATCCAGTCGAAGCGCGCGTCCTGGATCCGGAGCGCCGTCCGCAGGCAGTCGAGCGAGAACGCGTCGCCGACTTCCCACCTGGGCAGGACAAGAGAGATTCAACGTCGCTTCAACGTGAGTGTTCCGCGCGCGCGCGTTCCGGGAAAAGCATCCACGCGTGGAGACCGTTCCAAGAGATGATCGCTCGTCCAAAAGTCAGCCAAAACGAGTGGAAAACGGCCGAGATAGGAGCCTTTGAAGTTGGGAATTTCGCTCTCTTGTCCTGCCCTGCTTCCCACGCGCCGACGCCGGCCTTCGTCGCGTTCGCGTCGACGCCCAGCGCGAGGATCACGTCCACGGCCAGGGCCCAGACGTCCAGGGCCAGGTCCAGCCGAAAGTCCAGCAGCGGGCTCCCCGACCGCTGGACGATCCACTCGCCCAAATCGCCGAACGCGAACCGCACCGACATCGTCGTCTCCGCGTGGAACGCCGCGTCCGCGGGCAGCCCCAGGCCCAGCGCCGCGGCGTCGTCCGTGGCCCCGTCCGTGCGCGCGTAGGCGCGCAGCCGGTCCCGCGGGATGGCCGCGAGCGGGCCGAGCGCGGACGTCACGACGGTTTCGCCGACCAGTAGACTCGCGTTCGCGAACATGTCGGGCCCGGAGACGCCCAGCCGCTTGTCCACCTTTTCGAAGTATTCGACGACGCTAAAGGTCTGCGCCGTGCCGCCGTTGCAGTCGTAGAGCTGGAGCGTCGCGCCGGGCGCCGTCGACCCGGATTGGACGTCGACGCAGAGCCCCGACGCGGCGTGCTCGACGGCCTCCCAGCGCCAGTCCCAGTCGTCGTCGCCGGCGGCGTGCGTCTCGTAGTAGTCCGCCGGCGTCTCGAGGCGCCAGACGGCCGTGGGCGCGTCGCAGGGCGGCGGCCGCGCGACGACGCGCGCGTTCCGCGCCGTCGCGGAGCCGCGCGTGTCCAAACAGTAGCCCGTCGCGTCGTGGGTCACGGCGCCGCCCAGCGCCGCGAAGGACCAGAGCAGGTCCGTCGCGTTCGCGCGGCTCGCGTTGCCCAGGTCGTCGAAGAACGCGTCGCAGACGGCCGTCGTGACGTAGAGCGCGCCGCCGTCGTCGGCGGCGGCCGCGGAGCCGCGGTCCACCGTCCAGCAGAGGCGGCCCGTCGTCTCGTCCGTCAGATCCTCGAGGAAGAACTCGACGAGGGCCGACTCCATGCCCGCCGCGTAGCTCAGCGCGTCCTCCGCGCCCGCGGCGTCGAGCGACCCGGCGGTCTCGCAGTCCGCGACGACGTAGGCGGCGCCGCTCAGCGACAGGCAGCGCAGGGCCGCGCCGGGCGTGACGGCGTCGGCGTAGCTCGCGAGGACCGGGAGGTCGTCCACGCGGCCGCGGACGAAGACCTGGTCCTCGGACGACGAGTCGCACGTTCGCAGCTCCGGTTCTTCGCCGAGCGCGACGCAGGAGTTGTTCGCGGACGCGAGGAGGAAGGGGGCGACCTCGTCGGCCAGGGCGACGTGCAAACTCGCCCGCGTCGCGTTGGGGCGGAAGGCGGTCAACGAACCGGCGGAGACCGTCGCGGCCGCGCCCCAGTCCGTCCGCGCGGCGGCCCGCGCGCGCGCGCGCCGAACGACGAGGCGCTGGGGCGCGGACCCGACGCAGAGCGCGGAACCGAAGGCGTCCACCTCGAGGCACTCGTCGGTGCGCTGGGTCGAGCTGCGCACGTAGACGTAGGTCGCCTCCGTCGCGTTCCACGCGTTGTCGTCGGACGCGGCGGCGCCGTCGTCGTCGTCGCCGCGCGACGGCGCGTCCCGCTCCGCGAGGAGGTCGAAGCTGCCGTTCACGACGAGGGGGTCCGGCCCCGCGAGGGCCGCGCCCGCGTCCGCCGCGGCGTCGAGCAAAATGCCGAAGACGTCGCCCGTGGACGTGCCGGACGACTTCCGCGCGGCGTTCACGTCGCGCGCCGCGCGCGCGCCCGGGCCCGAGGCGTTGGCGAAGAAGCCGTGCCAGTCGACCCAGGCGTCGCGCGGCGCCGCGTCCATGGCGTCGTCGTCGAAGGGCGCGACGCCGTCGTCGCGGTCGCAGCACTCGCAGTTCTGCAGGCCCGCGTCCTTCAACAGGGACCCGACGTTCGCGTAGACGTACTCCTCCAGACTGTCGCAGACGAAGCCCTCGATGTCCTCGAGGAACCAGTCCGTGAACGAGTCCACGAAGAGGTTCGCCGCGTCGCCGACCGGGTCGCCGCGGACGTCGACGTCGTCGACGGCCAAATCCATGGCGCAGTCCGCCGTCACGAGCTCCGTCGGCGCGCCCCAGTCGTCGGCGTTGATCGTCACGGTGAACGCCGCCGACGTGCGGTGGATCGACGCGCGCAGCTTGCCGTCGCCCTTGATGTTGCCGACCCAGCTCTCGTACTTCCAGTCGTAGTCGCCCTCGCAGCTCGCCTCGATGCCGTCGAAGCGGAACGCGAGCGACCGCGGCGCCTCGTACGCCGCGGCCATGGCGCCGACGACCAAATCCTCGCACTGCATGTCCGACACCTTGATCTTGACGCCGCTGAAGGTGTCCTCGTAGCGGCTCGGGACATTAATCTTCATGGCGCCGATCCACTCCCGAAGCGTCTCAGCGGTCGGGTCCGCGGCGGTTAGCGCGGCGACGATGAGGGCGCGGCCGGCGAGGCCCATGGGGGACCGCGACCGGCCGCTGCCCCGGGCACCGACAACTTTCCTGGCGTGGGCGTCGGGCTGCGGACAATGTCATACACTTTATGTTCTTCAACGAATTTTTGTTAGCCTGCAACGTCGACAAAGTGCCCCACTCGGGGCCCCCACGATGGCGGATCTAGAAACGATGGACCTCGCGGCCCGCGTGGGCCAGAGCGATGCCTTTTCGCACGGCGTCGGCGCGCTCCGGGACCTGCTCGCGCACATCGAGAAGCTGCAAACGGACCACCACGCCGCCGACGAGCAATGGCGAACCGCACACGGGGCGTTGGAGGCAGCCCACGCCTCGCAGACCGAGGAGCTCGAACGATGGAAGGCGGCGCACGCGAAGCTGGAAGCGGACCACCACGCCGCCGACGAGCACTGGCGCGCCGCGCACGGGGAGCTGGAGGCGGCCCGCGCGTCGCAGGCCGACGAGCTCGAGCGACGGAAGGTTGCCAACGAGCAGCTGGAAGCCGACCGCGCGTCGCAGCACGACGAGCTCGAGCGGTGGAAGGCCGCGCACGCGAAGCTCGAAGCGGACCACCACGCCGCCGACGAGCACTGGCGGAGCGCGCATGGTGCATCGGAAGCAGCCCGCGCCTCGCAAACCGAGGAGACCGAGCGCTGGAAGGCCGCGCACGCGAAGCTCGAAGCGGACCACCACGCCGCCGACGAGCACTGGCGCGCCGCGCACGGGGAGCTCGAGGCGGCCCACGCGTCGCAGCTCGAGGAGCTCGAGAAGTGGAAGGCCGCGCACGACCACCTCGACGCGGAGGGCGCCGAGTTCAAAAGAAGCCTCGAGGAGTGGCAGCGGGCGCACTCCGACACGGAGAAGACGCTCGACGAGTGGCGCCACGCCCACGAGGCCCTCGAGCAAGAGAAGGCGGACCTCGCCGCGGCCCGCGACGCGCTCGAGCGCGAGCGCGACGACGCGCGGCGCGAGCTCGAGGCCGCGCGCGAGGCGGGCCGCGTCGCGCGGGACGGCCTCGCCGCCGCCGTCCGCGACGCGGGCGACGCCAAGGCCGAGGCAAAGCTCGCGTCGCGGCGCGTCCTCGAGCTCGAGTCGAAGCTCAAGCAGGCCGAGGGCCAAATCGCGTCGCTCGAGGAGGAGCGCGCGGTCCTGTCGACCGTCAAGGCGTCGGAGAACGACGAGACGATGGCGCGGCTCAAGGGCGAGGTCGTGAGCCTCCGGGCCGGGGGCCACGTCGCGACCCTCACGAAGCTCATCCAGCAGTGCCACGACGTCGACTCGTCGAACCTGTTCAAGAAGTCGCACGTCGCCGTGAAAAAGGCCGTGCTCAAGGTCGTTGCCAAAAGCGATTGGGACGGGTCGGAGAAGGAGGAGTGGGGCTGCGACGACGAGGTGATGGCGCGCATCCACACGTCCTGGTCGAAGGACCAGTGCAAGCTCTTCCTCAAGGACATGGAGGTCCTCGTCGTCGCCTTCGAGAACATGACCGACGGCGAGCGCGACAACGTCCCGCGGACCCTCGCGGAGATCACGCACAACGTCGGGCCCCTCGTGCAGATCTCGCGCATCTGCCGCGAGAAGCTCGGCGCGGCGCCGCCGCGCTAACTTGAAGCGCTCCTTGAAGCTCTGCGAGATGGCAGCAAGCATGGCAGCCCATCGATGCGTGAGATGAGATGCCACCGCCGACCGAGCAGCTCGAGATGGCGGCGCTGAACCCGATCCACGCCGGCCGCGACCAGGTCCTCGACGTCTTCGAGGTGGAGCTCGGCCGGCGCGGGCCGCGGCAGTCCGAAGACGACGCCGCGGAACCGCACAAGCCCTGGCCCGACCCAGCGGAACCACACAAGCCCTGGGCCTGGCTCGCCTACGAGCCGGCGGCGCCGCGCGAGCTGCCCTTCGAGGCGTCGCTCGGCGACATTGTTCGCCACGCGGCGCGGCACCCGGGCGCGCACGGCCGCGCGCTCGCGTCGATCCACGTCTCCATCGTCGCGTGGTGCGGCCTCTGGGACCTCTGCACCTACTGCGGCCTCGCGCGGCTCTGGACCGACGACGCCGCGCGCAACGGCGGCCTCGTCGCCGCGGGCGCCGCGCTCCTCGTCGTTTTGGACGTGTTCCACGGCAACGGTCTGGCGCCCGGCGACGTCGGCGGCCGCGTGTCCGCGTTCTGGGACGCGCGGGCCGGCGACGTGCGCTGGCGCTGGCCCCGGGCGCTCTCGTCCTTCGCGGGCCAGGTGCTCTTCACCTGCGGCATGTACAACGTCCTCGACGGCGACGGCGTCGTCCGTCGGACGTTTTCGCGCGACGTCGCCTACGCGGTCCTGGGCCTCGCGTTGACCGCGGCCGTCGACGGCGTGCTGGCCTTCTCCGAGGCCGCGGCGCGCCAGCGGCGCCGGCCGCCGGCGCCGGGCCGCTGGGACCTCTCCTTCGGCGGCGAAACGCAGAAGCCGCGCCTCGCGCTCGCGCTCGCGTCGCTGTCCTACTGCGGCCAGGTGCTCGTCTGGGTCGGCTTCGACAACTGCATCTGCGCCTGGCCCTACGGCGACGTCGGCCCCTGCCCCGGGCCCTGCGTCTTCGCGTCGCGGCGCTGGTACCACGAGCTCGGGCCGATGGCGGTCGGCGCGTGCGCGATGGCCGCGACGGGGTCGCTGCTCCACTTCGGCTTCGTCGTCGACCGCCTCGACAAGGCCCAGTTCCCCCACGTCTTCGCCTGGCTCCCCGCGCCCGCGGGGCCGCCGCGCTGGCGGAGCGCCGCGGCCGCGTTCTTTCGCTCGTTCTTCGCGCAGGCGGGCTACTACGCGCACCTCTCCGCGTTCTGGTACCTCGTCGACGAGGACCTCGCGACGGCCGGGGTCACCCCGGCGCCGGCCTCGGAGGCGCGCAACGCCGCCTACGTCGTCGTCGGCCTCGCGGGCCTCTACGCGACGGGATGCTTCTGGAGCGATACGGGGGGCTAATGGCAACTTATCCGCGGGATTCTACATGCCATTCTTCTGCGTGAATGAAGATTCTTCGAGGAAGCTACTTAGTCTGGCGATCTGTGCCGCCTAGACGCAAAAGCCCCGAGCCCGCGGAGGTGCGCGCGGTAGCTCCTTGATAGGATGTAGGCCGCGTAGTTCTGGTTGCTGCCCCCCTTGACAAAGGGGCAGTTTTTCTCCGCGTAGTTCGGGTCGCAGTCCTTGTTTTGCTCGAATCGGCACACGCAAACTCGCGGTCTGTCGTACTTCGTGTTTCGGATGCGGCGCCACCGCTCGTCCATCGAAGCGTTGCGGAGTCGCACGAGGGTCAGCGAGCAGTGGGCGAGAAAGTACGGGTACCTTTTCTTGGGAGTCGCCAGGACCTCCAGGAGGCGCGGGTACAGGGCGTCGATCCACGCGTCGATCATGGCGTCGCGGGGCTCGGCGGCGGCCAGGAAAAAGGTCCCGAGGGGCCGCGAATCCTCGGCGTTGTGCGAGGCGTACTGGCAATTTTCGAACCGTCTGGGCGCCGAGCGCTGCATGCGCGCCGCGGCATAATCTTTCTTGACGGTTCCGTCGAACGCGAACGGGAAGAAGAGGCCCTCGCGCGCGTCGAGAGCCTCCGGCACCCACGACTCCAGCCTTTGGAAGGGACACACCGACGTGTCTGCCCACACCCCTCCGTAGCGGCTGAGCAGGTCCAGCCGTAGCGCATCCGAAGCAAGGGGGAGACCAACGCGCCCGGAGTAGGGGTGGTCGCGGATCCCCGCGTACCGCGGCGACAGCAACTTCGCGTCGTCGTCGTCGAGCAGGCGGACCTCCCAGCCGCTCTCCGGGCCCGGGTAGAGCCGCATCCACGCCCAGACGCACGCGCGGTCCGCGGCGTGCTTCCCCTTCTGCGACTTGAGGTCACTCCATCCCTGCGCCCAGAACAGCCAGATGGTCTTCGAGCTGGAGGGCCAGCCCCCGCGGGGTGCGGCAGCGGAAGCAGATCGGACGTGGGCGGCGCCGCGCGAGGTGGCCATCGGCGCTGCTCCCGCCAACGCCCTTCTTTCATCGTCCGAGGCCACGCGCGCCACGAATAAAATCAGGAGTTTGTGGAAGGTCGGCATCGCTTGGATTCGACGAGCCTCTATCGACGCTAGCGTCGCGACTGGCGCGGCTCGTTCATAGACACTGCGAGGCGAGAGCGTAGCGACTGGCGCGCGTCGGAGAGGTTTGAGCTCGCTTGACGTCACGTGGTGGGCCACTCCCTCAACTGGCGGCAGCTGGTGCGGTCGTGGCGGTCCCAGCGGACGGAGCGTGGGATTTTAGACGCCTTCACACTCGCCTCGCCAAGGTCCTCGACTGCAGACTTCGACCATCCTTGGGAGCATCATCGTCCAGCGGATGAGCAGCGGATGGGCAGCGGTGAGCCTTCTTGAACTTCAGTTTCCCACGGCTTGCACTTTCAACACGCAGCCCCGGCATGGCGTAGCCCTCGAGGAAGGAATGGACGTCGTCCTAAAATACGTGCCGCGCGATGCGGCGCTGCCGCCTATGGAGCTCCGGATCACGCTCCCCGAGAAGACGCAGAAGCGGACGCTCGAAAACCTCCTCAAAGTCGTCGCGAAGACCTACAAGTCGCGTCACGACACCCCCTTCGACGACGGCGTCCAGTTCTATCACAACAACACGAAGCTCGACGGCGACGCCGTCGTCGGCGAGGTCCTGACGTCAGGCGTGGAGCTCGTCCTGCGGTCGCGGACGGCGGCGCCGGCCGCGGCGCTCGCGGTCGCGGCGCCGCCGGCCCTCGCGGCCCTCGGCAAGGAGAACGCGCCCCGGAAGGCGAGGCGCCTCGTGCGCGTCAACGTCATCGCGGACCCGAACTGACCCCACTCCTGGCCGGCGCACCGCATGCTGCGCGCCGCCGTCGCGACCATGGACGCGTCGCTGCGCGTGAGCGTCGAGCGGACCGCGTTCTTCCTGAACCCGCAGCTCGGCGCGGCGACGGGCGAGACCATGGCGTCGCTCTTCAAGCGCTACTACGGCGACAAGAAGGCGCCGGCGTCCTGCTCCGCGGCGTCGTCGTCGTGCTCCGCGGTCGCGGCGTCGTCGTGCTCCGCGGAGCCGCCGCGATCGTCGGACAAATTGAAGGTGCACGCGGCCAAGGCCGACGCCGACGCGCAGGCGCTGCGGACCCGCCACGGGCTCGCGGCCCTCGAGGACGGCGTGGCGCCCATGCACTACGATTACGACGTGGTCATGTCGTCGAGCCTCGACGCGCAAAGACTCCTCTTGTGGATCGGCTCCGACGAGGCGCGGCGCTCCGCGAACGGCGGGCCGGCGGCGCGCGAGCGCTACTTCGAGGAGCTCGTCTCCGAGCACTTCGCGCGCAAGGGCGTCTACAGCGACCGAGCCATGCTCGTGCGCTGCGCGGAGCGCGCGGGCGTCGACGCGAAACGGTGCGAAAAGTACCTGGCCTCGGGCCGCGACGAGGACGCGATCCGGCAGCAGTTCCTGCGCGTGTTTTACGGCTACGGCGAGGGCTTCTCGAGCATACCGATCACCATGTTCGCCTCAGCGTCCTTCGGCCGGGACGGTTTTCGAGAGCTTTGGGTGGGAAAACGATGAAACAAAGTTACCGGCGCACTCGGTAGGTTCGCCTGCGAGGGGCAGGACTACGTCATCCGCGGGAGCTCGCACCTTGAGGACTACGTGGAGGTGCTGCGCCTGTGCGCGGCGCAGCCGCCGAGCCAGTCCACCAAGAAACCGGCCTGGGAGGACTTGGACGCCAAGGCGAAGCTCGCCGGCGGCTGGGACCGCATGGAGCAGCGCGTCTTCGGGCAGGCCGACGCCGAGCTCTACAAGCAGCCCGCGGATCGATGATCCGCGTAGCGCGCCGACACTCCCCCCCGCGCGCTCGACGACGACCCACCCCCCGCGACCCATGACGCGCGGCCCCCAAGACGAGGGGCCGCGCCGATACCGCGGCGGGCGATCGTGCGTTTAACAGCGCGCCTAGATCAGGTCGACGCGGTGGTGCCGCGGCGTCGCGGCGCCGGCCGCGCGCGCGTCGCCCTCGTCGCCCAGCTTCGCGAGGTAGACGTCGAGCGACAGGAACATGTGCGCGGGCGCGGCGTCGCCCGCGCCGCCGAAGGGCGGCAGGAAGAACTCGAGCGAGTCCCGCGACGACTCGAACAATTTCGCGTTGAGGTCCAGCCGCGCCCACGCCACCAGAACGTCGTCGAACGACCCCGCCTTCTTCGCCGACGGCGCGCGGTCGAAGAGCTCCACGAGCACGAAGCAGCCAAAGTCCAGATCCTCGACGGCGGACTGGAGGCACCAGGTCTTGCCGAAGAGGAGGTAGCCCGACCGCGTGAGCGGCGGCGCCGTCGCGTGCTGGACGCGCTCGACGTCCCGACCCTTGGCGTCGCGCACGGAGATCGCGAGGAACGGGTGGTGGAGCTTGTCGGCCCCGTCGAGGCTCAGCTTGTCGAAGATCGCGCGGCAGTAGGTGCATTTGTGCCGCAGGGGCGGCGGGCCGAGCAGCGGCGCGTGCGTCGATTTTTCCACGGAGCCGCCCTTGCGCGCGAGCGCCGCCGCGAAGGACGCGGAGCAGCGGTCCAGGGGCGATCGCCCGTCGCGAGCCTTGACGCCGGCGTCGGCGCCGACGACGACCAGCGCGCCCGCGAGGTCGTCGTGGCCGTGGTCGACGGCGACGGCCAGCGGCGTGAGGCCCGCGCCGTCCGGAGCGTCCAGCGCCGCGCCGAACTGCAGCAGGTGCAGCGCGAGCTGCACGGCCCGCGCCGACGGCGCCGTCGCGTCCACGGTCTCGCAGGCGCAGTGGAGCGCCGCCTCGCCCCGCCTGTTCTTCGCCGCGCACGCCGCGGCCCGCAGCTCCAGGTTCGCGAACGTCGCGTCGCCCGCGCCGACCTGGGCAGGAAACGAGTGATTCAATTTCGCTTCAACATGAGTGTTCTGCGCGCGCGTGTTCCGGAAAAAGCATCCATGCTTCGAGACCGTTCCGAGCGATGATCGCTCGTCCAAAGGTCAGCCGAAACGAGTGGAAAACAGCCGAGAGAGGAGCCTTTGAAGTTGGGAATTTCGCTCTCTTTTCCTGCCCTGGCGCCGACGGTGTAGGCGTGGCAGAGCGCGACGGTCTCCCGGAAGGCGCCGAGCCACTCGAACAGATCCTCGGGCGCCTCGCAGGCGAAGTACATGCGGCCCGCCTTGTTGCCCAGCTGGAGCATCTGCGCAGAGTGGACCTCGAACGCGTAGGGCTTGACGTCGGAGCGCTTCACGGACGCGTTGCGCAGGCTCAGGGACTTGATGGGCTTCGCGTCGCTCTTCTTGCCGTAGTAGCTCAGGGACGTGTCGCTGAGGACGCACCACCGCTCCTTCCACGCGTCGCCCTCCTTCCGCTTCCGCATGCGGCCGCAGTGGACGACGCCCGGCTGCCGCGCGGACGCGGGCGCGGACTCGGCGCGGCTCCGGCCGCCGAAGAAGCGGCCGAAGCGGCTCGTCGTCCCGACCTTCGCCGCGGCTTTCGCCGCGTCCTCGCCGGACCGGCGGAAGTCGCCGAAGAGCGACGCGCGGCGGAGCTTCGACGGCGCGACGGCGGCCGTCGTCGACGACCGGTCGAGGCCGCCGAGGATGGCCCGGGCGAGGTCCAGGCGCGTCGCGCGCGCCGCGCAGTGCAGCGGCGTGTCGCCTCGCCGGTCCCGCGCGAGGAGCGCGGCGCCGTCGAGCCGCGGCAGCAGGAGCTCGAAGAGCGACGCGTTGCCCCCAAAGGCCGCGGCGTGGGCCAGGGTCTGGAGCCCCCGCCGCGGGTGGCGGCAGGTCGTGAGCAGCGCCCAGGGGTCGTCGCCGGCGAACAGGGGGCTCGACGCGTCCACGGGCACGCCGGCCTCGGCCGCGAGGTCGAAGGCCGCGTCGAGGTCTGCGAGGAGGTGCGCGGTCCGCAAGATCGACCGGACGAAGCGGCCGAGCGTCGTCGCCGCGCGCCGGCGCGCCTCGGCGCGGCGGAAGGCGCCGCGGCGCCGCGCGGCCGCCGCGGCCGCGAGCGCGCCGCGCTTGAGGCTCCGGAACGCGACGTACTCGTGGTCGCCGCGCGCCTTGGCCTGGACCATGAGGACGCGGCGCGGCGTCACGAGGAAGAGCACGCGCCGCGCGAAGGCGGCGAGCGCGCGGAGGCCGCGGCGCCGCGCGGCGACGGCGCGCCTCGCCGCGGCGGCCCGGCGCCGCGCCTGGCTCCGCGTCGCCAGCCGTTCGCGCTCCGCGAGGTAGGCGACGGCGGCCTCCGCGGCGTCCGCCGCCGCGGCGGCGTCGGCGTCGCGCGCCGCGCGGCGGGCCGCGGCCTCCTTTTTCGCAAAGCGCGCGCGGCCGAGGCGGTTCTGGAGCGCCGTCGCCGCGGCGCGTCGCCGCGCGACCTCGTCGCGCGCGAGCCGCCCCCGCGCGGCCGTCTCGAAGAGCACGGCGCCGTAGCGCCGCCGCAGGTGCCGCTCGCGGCCGACGACGGCGCGCGCGGCGGCCTCGATGGCCGTCGCCGCCCACCGCGCGCGCAGGAGGCCGGTCACGAGGGGCGCCATGCGCGCGACGCTCTCGATCTTCACGGCCGCGGGCACGCGCGCGTCGACGGACCGCGCCACCTCCGCCTCGAGCGCCGCCGTCGCGTCCGCGGCGGCGTGCAGCGCGTCCTTGGCCGCTTGCGACGCGGCGGCGCCGCCGGCCGTGCCCGCGGCGGCGTCCGCGGCGGCCGCCGCGTCGCCGCAGGCCGCGAAGGCCTGCTCCGCGTCGAGGGCGAGGCCGACGAGCTCCGCGTCGCTGGCCCGGACGCCGTCGTCGACGTCGCCGTCCAAAGCGAAGTCGACGCCGAGCTCCGCGTCGGCTTTGGCCTTGGCGGCCGCGAGGCGCTCCGCGAGCTTCATGAGGTCCGCGTGGCCCGCGGCGACGAGGGCGTGCTCCTTGGCCTCCTTGTCCTGCACGGCCCTGCGCGCCGCGTCGCCGGCGGCGGCCACGAGCCGCGCGGCCTCGGCGGCCGCCGCGCGCGCGGCCGCGGCCGTCGGCGTCAGCGCGACGCGCGTGCCGACGTCGGGGTCTTTGGCCAATCGATCGTAGGCGTCGCAGGCCGCGCGCGCGGCGACGACGGCGTCGGCGGCCTCCACGGATTTCTTCGACGCCGCGCCCGCGCGCGCGAGCCGCGCGGCGACGGTTTCGGCGGCCTTCGCGGACTCCTCGAGCGACTTGCGCGCGGCGTCGACGACCTTGCGCTCCTCGGCGCGGCGCGCGGCTGTCGCCTCGCCGCAGGCCTTCTCCGCGGCCTCGACGCCGGTCGTCGTCCGCTCGAGCGACGACGAGTCGAGCGTCGTGCCGTCTCCGAGCGCGCGCTCCGCGGCGTCGACGGCCGCGAGCGCCGCCGCGTCCAAATTCCGCACGCGCCCGCCGAGCTCGGGCCCGCCGAGGCCGTCGCGGCCCGCGCGGCGGCGGCAGGCCTGGAGCCGCGCGACGACGGCCGCGCTGAGCGCCGCGGACGCCGTCGCGGCGTAGGCCTTGGCCGCGTCGCGCGCGGACGCGACGCCGATGTCGTCGCCGCCCGCGGCGAGGCCCAGGCGCCGGCGGAACGCCGCCCGGGCGTCCGCCGCCATGCGCAGCGTCTCCGCGAGGTGCCGGTCGAGCGGCGGGCCCGCCGCCGGCGGCACGTCGCCGCCGGCCGCGTGCTCCGCGAGCTCCGCGGCCGCGGCGTGGCGCTCCGCCTGGGCCGCCGTCTCGTCGGCCGACGCGCCCTCGCGCTCCAGGGCGATGACCAGCGCCGCGCGCGACGCCTTGGCGTCCGTGTCCTTGGTCATCTTCACGAGCTGGCCAGCGACGAAGCGCTCCGCGGCCTTGGCCGCGTCGATGACGGACTCGGACCCCACGTCGCCGTCCTCCGCGACGGTCACGAGGCGCCGCGCCTCCGCGAGCGTCGCCGCGAGGGCCTCGGAGCTCGACGCCCACGCGTCGACGGCCGCGACCGCGGCCTCGCCCGACGCCTCGTGCGACACGGCCTCCAAACGGACGGAGCTCCGGTCGCGCGACCGCTCCGCGGACGCCAACGCCGCGTGGAGCTTGTCGATGCGCTCCGCCGCCTCCTTGGCCGTCTTCGCGGCGCGCCGCGCCGTCGACACCGCGGCGTCCGCGTCGTCGTTGGCCCGCGCGACGGCGGCGGCGGCCGCGGCGAAGCGCGCCGCGTCGTCGCCGCCGTCGTCGACGAGCGCGGCGACGGCCGCGCGCGCGGCGGCGACGCCGTCGCGGGCCGCCGAGACCTGGGCCGCCATGGCTTTGTTGCGCACGACGCCGTCGACGCGGAACGGCGCGGCGTCCGTCGTCGCGGCCGCGGCGGACACCGCGGCCGCGGCGGTCTCGACGCCGCGCTTCAATGCCTCGACGCGCTTCCGCCGCGCGGCCGCCGCGGCCTTGGCGCGCGCGGCGTCGAGGTTCGCGAGCGTCGCCTCGCAGGCCTCCGCGGCGGCCGCGGCCTCGGCGACGGCGCCGGGCGCGCCGTCGCCGCCGTCGCCGACGGCCTTCGCGGCGCGCTTCGACGACTTCTCGAGGCGGTCCACGGCGGCCTCGGCGTCGGCGAGGCTCCCGTCCAGGGCCGTCGAGTCCAGGGCGGCGACCGCGGTTCGCAGCCGTTCGAGCTCGTCGCGCGCGGACCGCTCGCGCGCCTCGACGCCCGCGAGCGCGTCCTCGCAGGCGCCCTGGCGCGTCTCCCGGAGCGCGGCCAGGGCGGCTTCCGCCGCCGCCGCCCGGGCGTCGACGGCCGCGGCGGCGTCGTCCGCGGCCCCGGCGGCCGCCGCGGCGTCCTCGGGCGCGGTGGCCTTGGCGAGCGCGTCGTCCGCGGCCCGCGCCGCGGCCTCGGCCGTCTTCCTCGCCGCCGCGCCCGCGGCCAGGGCGTCGTCGAGCGCCTTCCGCGCGGCGTGGACGTCCGCGCGGGGCTGGTCGCCCTGCTTCTCGAGCGCCGCCGCGGCCTCGGCGACCCGCGCGAGGCGCGCGGACGCGGCCTCGAGCGAGCTCGCCCGCGTCGCCGCGGCGCCCTTGAGCGCCGCCACGGCCTCGAGGTCGCGCGCCGCCTTGGCCTCGGCCGCGGCGCGCGTCGCGCCTCGGAGCGCGGCGACGGCGTCCGCGGCGGCGTCGAGCGCGGCCTTGGCCGCTCCGTACTTCTCGCCCATGGCCGCGTCGCCGCCGCGCTTCTGCCAGGACCGCTCGCGGGCCTCGCGCGTCCGCGCGGCGTCGTCGAGAGACGTCGCCGCGGCCGCGACGGCGGCGTCGCACGCGGCGGAGTCCGGCGCCGCGCCGGCGTTCTTCGCGACGGCGACGGCGTCGTCGCGGTCCTTCCTTAAAGCCGCGAGCCGCCGCCGCAGCGCCGCCTCGTCCTTGAGCCGCTTCTTCCGCCGCCCGGCTTCCCCGCGCGCGCGCGAGCCGCGGATCAGGCTCTGGAGCGCCGAGAAGCCGCGCTTCGCGGCTCGGAACCGCGTCCGCGCGTACTTGCCCGCGCACTTTGCGTTGATCTTCGTCGCGAAGGCGCCGTAGAGGGCGTCGACGGCGGCCTGGAGGTCCGCCTCGCCCGCCGGCGAGAGGAAGACCTTCGTGTTGCCGATCTGCCCCCGCGACGGGTCCAAGTGCTTGGCGACGATGGTCTCGCACGCGCGCCGGAGCGTCGCGGCGTCGCAGGCGTCGGGCTCGGGGAAGCCGAGGAAGGCCGTGGACCCGGCCCGGCCGACGCCGTTGCGGCCCAGCGCCTCGTACTTGGTGAAGAACGCGAGGAACTCGACGCGCGTCGGCAGGCCCTCGCGGCGGATGCGCACGACCTCGAGCGCCCCCGAGCAGCGGAGCTGCTTGACGACGAGCTGTTCGCTGTAGGCGCCGGGCTGCTTGCTCGAGTTGGGCTTGATGCACTTGATGTAGTGGGGCGACGTCGTCGCCAGGATCGCGACGAGCTCCTCGAGCTGCGTTCTAAATTTCTTCGACACGGTCTGCCCCGCGGCCATCTTCTTCTTGTCCCGGGGCCCGGCGTCGCGCGCGATGGGTTCGCCGTCGATGCGCCCCGCGCCGGCCTCCGGCGCGCCGGGGAGCCGCAGGCAATGTCTCAAAAACCCGTCGTCGGACGCCTCGACGGCGTCCCGGAGGTCGTGCGCGAGCGCGTCGTTGTTCTTGACGATCCAGCCGGAGACGTCGTAGTCGACGGCGCCCGCGTAGTGGCGCAGCTGGAAGTGGAGGCCGTCGTCGAAGCGCGGCTTCGCGTACGCGCGCGGCTTGCCGCCCCTGGGCTCGGGCGTCGCCGCGTGCGCGTCGTGGTAGGCCCGGAGCAGCGCTTTGTCGTCGGGTTTGCGATGGAGCAGGCCGTGCTCCTCGAGGATGGGGAAGAGGCCCGCGGGCTTCGCGCCCGTGACGACGTCCACGAGGTCCCGGTTGTCGTCGAAGGCCACGTAGCCGGGGTCGAGCCCCTCGGACCTGTGTGGAATTCAACCACTGGTTTGGGTGGTCCTGACCAAACTTCAGAATTCTCTAGCTCGATCAAATCGAAGTCGATTCGGCTGATTTTTGGACGAATCGATTGCTCTCGTCGAGTTCTCGAAGCACAGCTGAAGAGCTTGCGTCGAAACTGTCGCATATGCGCACATTGAAGTCGGGTTGAAGATTTGAATTCCACACAGCCTCGGACTCGTAGACGGCGCGCTCGCGCTCGAAGACCGTCGCGTTGAACTGGCGCTGGAGCATCTCGTTGGCGAAGTTGATGCAGAGCTGCTCGAAGGAGTTCGTCGGCAGAATCTCGAAGCCGAAGATGTCCAGGATGCCCACGAAGGGCTCGAAGGTTTTGGAAGCGACGTTGCGCCCGTGCTCCGCGTTGAGCTTCCGCAGCAGCCAATCGAACAATGCGCCGTAGAGGAACTTCACGAGGGCGTCGGCGTTCTCCTTGGCCTCGCGGTCGCCGTAGGGGATCATGACCACGGACCCGCGCGCGGACGACTTCGAGTGGCTCCGGAGCTTCGCCATAAAAACGGCGCCGTCGAGGCCCAGCGCGCGCGCGACGGCGTCGACGTCGCCGCCGACGGCTACGAGGCCCGTGTCGTCGGCGCAGGCGTCGAAGGTCAGCGCGCCGAGCCGCAGCAGCCCGCCGACGAGGTCCGCGACGCGCGCCCGCTCCTCCTGTGAGCAGCCGCAGCTCGCCTGGGCGGGAACAGAGTGATTCAACGTCGCTTCAACGTGAGTGTTCCGCGCGCGCGCGTTTTCAAAAAAAGCATCCACGCTTCGAGACCGTTCCGAGAGATGATCGCTCGTCCAAAGATCAGCCGAGACGAGTAGAAAACAGCCGAGATAGGAGCCTTTGAAGTTTGGAACGTCGCGCTCTTTTCCCGCCCCGCAGCTCGCGAGGCCCCCGTCCGTGACGTCGAACTCCTTGGCGTCGTCGACGGTGTGGTGGTCGTCGATCTCCGTGACGCCGCCGGCGACCAAGAGCGGGAAGTCGTCGAGGGAGTTGTCGGGCAGCGCCTTCGCCTTCACCTGTGCGGGAAACAACCAGTGGAACGCCCTGTCCGGCAAAAACTTCAAACCTCTCGAGCTCGGTCACATCAAAGTCGATTCGGCTGATTTTTGGACGGATCGTTTTCTCTCGGAAAGTTCTCTCGCGTCGAAACTGTTCGCTTTCGAGCATGTCGAATTCGTGTTGCATATTTTTGTTTCCCGCCCTGGCCTTCACGAGCTGGTAGAAGTAGTGGTAGGACCGCTCGCCGGCGTCGACGGACGCCAGGCGGCTCTTCTCCAACAGGAAGTGGTCCGTCCGCGCGCCGGCGATGCGCCAGTCGTCGTCGTAGACGAGGCGGATGTACTTGCCGAAGCGGCTCGAGTTGTCGTTGCGTATCGTTTTGGCGTTGCCGAACGCTTCCAAAATCACGTTCGACACCATGAGCACGGCGTCGACGTCCACGGCGGCCTCCGCGTAGGCGTCCTTGCGCGCCGCGGACAGCGCCAGGAGGAACGCCATGACCTTCTTCGACGCCTCGGTCTTGCCCGCGCCGGACTCCCCCGAAACCACCACGGACTGGTTCACGCGCGTCGCCCGCACGGCCGCCTGGGCCCTGCGCGCGATGCCGTAGACGTGGGGCCGCGACGCGTCCATGGCCTCGAAGGCCTCCTCGTCGTCGACCGCGGGCAGGTCGTAGAGCAGCGGGATCGACTTGTACGGATTCACGGACACGAGCACGTCGCCCGTGTAGGTGTAGATGGCGTCGCGCTTGTAGCGCCGGCCCAGGGCCGTCAGGAGCGGCGCCTCGTGGAGCTGGTTCATTTTTGCGAGGTCGTCGATGTCGCCGTCGTGGGACGGGTCCCAGCGGGCGGCTTTGGCCTGGTCCAGCGTCTCGTGCTGGCCCTCGGCCGTGGTCACCTCGACCGTGCTCTGCTTCCAGGCGTCGACGGTGGCGAGCTGCCAGACCTTGGTCTTCGACGGCACCCAGACCTTGTCCGCGTCGGCCATGGTGGGCTGCGCGCGCCCCGCGAGCTGCGAGCTAAGCCTGTTCCACTCGAGGCTGCCCCCGGAGTTTCACAGGTTTGCATTACCCGGCTGGCCGCCGGCTGGCCGGGGGTCAACAGGTTCCTGTCCCCTGCCCAGGGGGGCCGCCGCGCTGGCATCGACGGCGCCACGACGAGAGCCAAGCCTTGAGGTTTAGAGTCAGTGCCCACCGCCGTGCGACGCGGCGTCCGTTCGCCCACGCACGCGCGTCCGAGAGACCGGCGGCCGCTCACCGGCCGCCGCGACACGCCTCTGAAGAGCTGCGCCGACGTTCCCGCGATTTTCGTGCTTCGCCGAAACGTCGCCGGCTGCTCTCACGGATCCAGCTCCACGTGAGCGCTCCGAGAGCCCGGGACGCGGTCGCGGCGCGGCGCGGCGCGTCTCCGCGGCTCGGCGGGCCGTCGCCGCGCGGCCGGGAGGCAGCGAACCGCCGGGGCGCCCCGCGCGCGCGCGCGTTCCGGCCGAGTCCGAGCCGCCCGCCTCTCAGGTCCGCCATGGTCCGCCTCCTCGTCGCCCTCGTCGCGTCCGCGGCGGCCCTCGCCCCCAAGGCGCCGCAGACCCACGCCCCGAAGCTCTCCCGCGGCGAGGTCCTGAAGACCGTCTTCGGCTCCGCGGCGGCCGCGGCCGCGGCCGGCGCGCTCCCGTCCTTCGCCGTCGACGACATGTCCGCGGTGCCCGAGCCCGAGCCCTACAAGTTCCCGACGGACTGGGGCATCACGTCGGACTACTACACGGACGCCCAGAAGGTCGTCGCCCACATGCGCCTCGCGACGAGCCTCGACAAGGGCGCGCCGGACATGGAAAAGATCGCCTTGAACACGAAGAAGGAGATGATCGACTTCGTCGCCTTCTACCGCCGCTTCACCAACGTCTCGGGCAAGCAGTCCTTCTCCACGCTCTACACGGCCATCAACGTCCTCGCGGGCCACTACACGTCCTACGGGCCCAAGTTCCCCGTGCCCGAGAAGCGCCGCAAGCGCCTCTACCAGGAGTACGCCGAGATCGAGAAGAACATCAAGAAGCGCCGGTAGATTCGCAAAAACCCGCCGCGTCCGCCTCGTAACCTCGGTGCGATCGTGGGCGCGAGGACGGGGCATAGGAGCAGCCTCGATGCGATCGTAATTTATTCGTCCTCGTCGAGGAGCGCGAAGCCCGGCGCGTCGTCCTCGTCGAGGAGCGCGAAGCCCGGCGCGTCCATACGGAACGCCTCGTAGTCCGCGGCCTCGTCCTCCAACAGGAAGTCGTAGATCTCGTCCTCGCCGACGAAGCCGTAGCTCTCGTCGTCGTCGACGTCGTCGGACGCGTCGGCGGCCTCGGCGGCCTGCTTGAGCTCGACGTACGTCGTCCAGCCCACGGGGTCGTACTCGAGGTCGACGTCGTCGCCGACCATGACGAGGTCGCCCTTCTCCGCGCCCGCGTCCACGAGGGCCTGGGCCACGCCCAGCGCCTCGAGCATGCGCCCGAAGCGCGCCACGGCGTCGGGCTGCTCGAACTTGGTCATCGCCGCGACTTTTTCCAGCCGCTTCGAGTCGATGCGCCACTGGCCCGGGAAGCCCCTCGCCGCGCCGTCCTCGAGCGTCCAGGCGCGGTCCGGGTTCTCCCGCGAGTTCACGAAGGGCGGGTCCAGGTCCACGCGCGCCTCGCCCGCGACCGTGGATTCCACACCCTTGCCGCCCTCGGCGTCGCAGAACTTCCGGAGCTTCGCCATCAACTGCTCGACGCCCGCGCCCGTCGCCGCCGACGCCGTCGCGACGCGCGCGTGGCCGCAGGCGGCCCGGAGCGCCGCCACGAGCCGCGCCTCCGTCTCTTCGTCGAGCGCGTCGACCTTGTTCAGAAGCACGACGCGCGGCTTCTCCGCGAGGATCCGCGAGTACGCCCGCAGTTCCCGGTCGATGACGCCGTAGTCCGCGACGGGGTCCTCGGCCGTCGCGTCCACGACGTGGACGAGCGCCGCGCAGCGCTCGACGTGGCGGAGGAACGCGTCGCCCATGCCCGCGCCGTCCGACGCGTTCTCGATGAGGCCCGGCACGTCCGCGAGCACCTGGGCAGCAAAAGAGAGATTCAACGCCGCTTCAACGTGAGTGTTCCGCGCGCGCGCGTTCCAAAACAAGCATCAACGCTTCGAGACCGTTCCGAGCGATGATCGCTCGTCCAAGAATTAGCCGAAACGAGTGGAAAATGGCCGAGATCGGAGCCTTTGAAGTTGGGAATTTCGCTCTCTTTTGCTGCCCTGGCGAGCACCAAGCCCCGCTCCTCGCCCAGCGGCTTTTTCGCCGGCGGCAGGGGCGCCTCCGCGGGCGTGGCACCAGCCCCCCCGAGGATCGCGTCGAGCTGCCGCTCCGCGAAGGCGTCGACGGCCTTGCCGTCGACGCGCGCCTCGACGGCGCCGTACGCGTCGTAGTCGGGCGTCGTCGCCGCGTCCCAGGACCGCACGGGCGCGCGGTCGCCCTTGCGCGACGTCGCCCGCGTGCGCAGCCGCTCCTGCTTGAGCCGCGCCTTCTTGCCCAGGCCGCCGACGGTGGACCGGCGCGCGCGCGTCGCGAGGCGCTGCGCCTTGGGTTTGTCTTCGCCCCCGCGGTCGCGCGACCGCTTGAAGCCCCGGGGCTCCCAGACGCCCAGATTCGGCACGAGCGTCGTGAAGGCGTAGTCGGCGATCTTCGGCCGCGCCGCCGTCGCCGCCGCGAGCAGCGTCGACTTGCCCGCGTTCGGCAGGCCCACCAAGCCGCAGTCCGCGACGAGCTGCAGCGACAGCGACAGCACGTGGCGCGCGCCCTGCTCCCCCCGCTCGGCGATGCGCGGCGCCGTCATGCGCGGCGTCTTGAAGGCCGCGTTGCCCCGGCCGCCGCGGCCGCCGCGCGCGACGAGCAGCGCGTCGCCGGGCTCCCGGAGCTCGCCCGCGACGCGGTAGGGCGGCGCGTGCTCGCGGACGACGGTGCCCGGCGGCACGCGCACGTAGACGTCGGGCCTCGCCTGGGCGTGCTTCGTGGACCCCTGGCCCTTGGCGCCGCTCTTGGCGCGCCGCAGCGAGTGGCGCCGCGCGACGCCGAGCGTGTTGAGGCCGCCGTCGCAGACGAGGATCACGCTCCCGCCGCGGCCGCCGTTGCCGCCGCTCGGGCCCCCGAAGGGGATGTACTTCTCCCGGCGGAAGCTCAGGCACCCGTCGCCGCCGTCGCCGCCCCAGACCTCGAGGCGCGCCTCGTCCCAGAAGCCGCCGCCGCTCGACGCGCCCGGCGCGTTGTGGACCTCGCCCGCCAAGGGCGGGTACTGCTCCACGGACTCGTCCGCGAGGACGCGGTGTGCGTAGGGGGTCGCGCGGGGGTGCGGGAGGACGAAGGCGCTGCCGAGGGTCGAGAAACAGCTCAGAAGAACTGGAAAGCAGCGGCCCATCATCGCTTCGCGGGTGCAACGTCAAGGACCTGGTCGTCGATGCCGAGATGATGCCGTCGGTTGGCCTCGAGCAAAAGTCGAAGTCGTTGGCCTCGTCCACAAAACTTGGCGCAAAACGATGTCCGCAACAAGCATGAGCACCGCAGGCGCGCATGACCGAGGTGCGCATCGCGTCCTCCTTCCCCTACGCGCGCGCGTCGCTGCCCGCGCAACGCGCGCGTCGCAACGACCTTGAGCGGGTGTCGCTGCGCACGACGATGGCACGCGCGCCGACGCCTTCACGCCTCGTAGGCTTCATCGGCTTCGAGGACGACCGATCGCGCGCGCGGTGGTGGAGCCACATGTGCGACCGCGAGCGCGAGGACCCCAAGTTCAGCTTGGACGCGCCGTACGTGAAATGCCGGCGATTGTACGTCGACAGCGTCTGGAGTCTGTGCGAGGACCACCGGCTCGCGGAGACGACGGCGCACGTCGCGACGCGCTACTACGACCTCGCGATGCAGCGGGAGCCCGCGGGCGGCGTGCTGCTCGAGGACTTCACGCTCGACGAGGTGCGCATCGCCGCGGTGCTCATCGCCGCGAAGTTCGAGGAGCACGAGGCGCCGACGCTCAAGGCCATCCGGGGCCCGAGCCGCGCGGCGAGCATCGAGGCGCGCCGCATGCGCGACGCCGAGGCGGCCGTCGCCGCGCGGCTCAACTGGCGGCTGAGCGTCGTGACCGCGCTCCAGTGCTTCGAGCATTTGCACACGTCGAACCTCATCATGCACCCGTCGGACCTCGTCCGCGGCGCGCCGCTGAGCCGGTCGCCGAAGGCGCGCAAGTTCGTCGTGACCTACGCGCGCTTCTTCTGCAACATGACGCTCCAGTCGTCGACGTTCCAGCTGCCGCCGCCGTCGAAGCTCGCGGCGGCCATCGTCCACGCGACGCGCCAGCTCCTGAACATCGCGCCCGCGTGGCCCGACCGCCTCGCGCGGTTCACGGGCTACGCCGACGTCGCGCCACTGGCCGACGACGTGCTCGCGTACTACCAGTCCGAGTTCCCGGACCACCACCAGAGCGTCCAGACCTTCGCGAGCTCGCCCAAGTCCGTCGCCGACGCGAGCCGCCTCTTCCCCGAGGACGCGCCGCCGGACGCCGCCGCGGGCTACGAGGACGCGACGCGGTCCTTCTTCAACTAGCTATCGTCCGCCGCCCCTCGTCGACATCGCATTCGCGTCCCGAACCCGCCGCGCGAGCGAGGCCTCCCCTCGCGCGACGTCAGACCTCACACGTCTGCTCTCTTAGCTACGCCTCCGGCGCCTTGAGCGTCGCGAGCCGCATGCGCAGGCCACAATAGGTGAAGCTGTGGCCGTAGTCCGTGAGCCGCCCGCAGGCGACGACGTGGAGCCGCGACGCGCCGCGGGGCACGACAGTCTTGTCCGAGAAGCCCGAGAAGTTGTAGCCCGTCTCGTCGACGAGGTAGATGCCCGGCTGGCCCTCGTCGCGGAGCTGGCGCTCCTTGCGGTTGTAGCCCCGCGACGCGAGGCAGACGAGGTAGGGCCCGAGCTCGACGACGAGCGCGACGAGCAGGCCCTCGCCGCCCCAGCCCTGGTCCTGGACGTCGACGAAGAGGCTCTCGACGTTCTGCACGGCGTCCGGGTCGACGTCGCCGCTCCACAAAATCTGGTTCATGGGCTCGCACCAGGCCTTGAAGTTCGCGTCGTTGATGATGACGCCGGAGATCTTGCGGTCGCCCGTCCACGACACGGGCGCGACGCGGTCCTCGACGACCTCCACGCCGCCGCGGTCGACGCGGGGGAACGCGCGCTGGAAGAGCGCCGCGGAGAGCTCGCCGTAGGCCGCGTCCGGGCTCGCCCCCGCGCCGCAGCGGCCGTCGTTGTACGCGCCGAGCAGCGGGAGCGCGTCGAGGATGCGCTGGCGCTCGTAGGGCGTGTGGTTCTGCCGCAGGCCCGCCACCGTCGACGCGACGCCGATCTGGACCTCGCAGGCGCACAAATAGGCGGACGCGAGCCCGGCCTGGTAGTAGTTCGGGTGGTCCAGGAAGAAGTTCATGTTGTAGAGCTCGCACCGGTCCCGGCCCGCCTGCGACGAGTTGGCCTTGAAGCGGTAGATCGTCACGTCCGCTGTCGTGAGCTCGAGCGGCTTCATCGCCGCGATGGCCGCCAGCTGGGAGCTCACGGTCCCTTTCCACTTGTCGACCTTTTGCGCGTAGTTCTCCGGGAACGCGCCCTCGAGCATCGTCTTCAGCCGCTCCAGCTCCTCGACCGTCTCCACGGTGAAGGTGCAGCGCCGGATGTCGCCGGCGATCTGCGCGGACGACATCTGGCCGCGGCGGACGTAGGCCTTGTTGAACAGGGACTGGAGGGGCTTGTAGTTGACGACGCGCTCCGACGAGCAGCCGAGCGCGTCCTCCGCGAGGCCCGCGCGCGCCTCCATCCAGGCCTTCAACTCTAGAAAGATCTGCTTGTCGCGGTCGTGGACCGTGACGACGGAGTCGGGGTCGCCGCTCTGGAGCGCGGCGCGGCAGTGGCGCGCGTGTTTGAGCGACGACGGCAGGAAGGGGTCCGCGTCGCCCCAGCCGCCGACGCGCTTCGTGTCGGCCCACATCTGGACCACGAGGTTCGCGGCTTCCCGCTCGAACTCGCGCTGGTCCGGGATCCGCTCCAGGTCCACCGCGTCCAGCCCGCGGAACTCGCCGTCCTTCAGCTGGTCCAACGCGACGACCTTGCGGATGACCTCCGGCGAGTCGCAGTCGACCAGCTTCCCGAACTCGTCCACGAGCAGGCCGATGATGATCTCCGTCGTCGTCGACGTCTCCTCGCACACCTTGTCGTAGTCCGCTTCAAAAAAAGGGCGGTCGCCGTAGTTCGTCATGACCCAGCGGTAGAACTTGCGCATCCGCAGGAACGCGTCGGCGACGTGGGCCTTGGCGAAGGACTCCTTCGCGGCCTCCTGCGTCGACACGCGACCCGTCATCAGGTCCAGCAGCTCGGGGCCGAAGGCCTCGACGACGGCCGACGACGCGAGCCGCGCGGGCAGGTCGCCGCCGAGCGACGCGTCGCCGCTCTCGGCCCAGGCCCTGGCGATGCGCGCGACGTCCGCGGGCGCCGCGGGCGCGGCGTCGGCCGCGGCGTCGACCTCGAGCGCCGCGGACGTCTGGTGGAGCGTGAGCTCGTGGCCGCCGCCGCCGCCGACGACGACCTGCACCGCGACGGCGTCGGCGGCGCCCCGCACGTGCTGCGCGCCGGCGACGGCGGCCGCGTCGAGCTCGAGGCTGAACGCCGCGGCCTCGTGGGGCGCGACGCCCTCGAGCGCCTGCGACGCGAGCTCCTCGCCGCCCTTGAGCAGCGCGAGGCGCACGCGGCCCTTCTGGTTGCCCCAGCCCTGGTCCTGCCAGTGGCCCGCGACCACGGCGCGGTGCGCCGTGTGCCCGGCGGGCACGGTCAGCAGGGCCACCGTCACGAAGGCGTCGCTGGGCTCCGCGAAGCACTCGTCGATGGTCGCCGTGAGGCCGCTGCCGCCCGCCGACGCGCCGGCGCCCATGGTGCGTTTCCTCAAGCCTTTGGTGAGGCTGCTCCGTTCACCGGAGCACCTAGAAGAGCGGGAGGGCTGCTCCGTTCACCGGAGCGCACCTAGAAGAGCGGAAGGGCTGCCGTTCTGATGGACATGCGCCGCGAATCGACCCACACTGGTTGCGAGTTGCAGTCGATACTCTGCCATGTTGACGCTCGGCGTGACATCACTTGGTTGACTCCGAGCTGCCTCGCCCAGGTTGGGCACGCGATGCAGCGGTTCCAGGACTTGGCGCGGCGCTCGGTCTGTGGACCATGTCGCGCCTTGGGCCCGGCTGCGAGTCGCTCGGGAAAGACCATCGGTCGATGGGGAGCAACTTAGTTCGCGTCGGGGCAGCCCGTGGACGACGAGAACGGCGGTTATCGGTGGGGGGCGACCGACGAGGGGCTCGCATTAGTGCTGAGGTCCCGTATGTGCGACCAACTTCGAAGAAACACCCCCTGGAATGTCCCTCCCGAGGGGGCTGTCCGGGCTTGGTCGCACATACGGCCTCGTGCATTGCGCGGTGAGCACCGTGTCGCCCGCGGCGCCGCGCGCCTCTCGGAGCCGGTGAGGTGATCTCGATCAAATCGGCTCGAGTCGAAGAGCTGCCGCGAGGGCATCTGGTCGCTCCCATGACGAACGATTCCCGACGCTCTGTGACTCGAAGGGGACCGAAAATCGGGTCGGGGGAAGCTGCCGCGCCTCATTCCACCCCCTGAGGCTGCCCGTTTGCGTCGCCTCGCAATCGTCCGGATGTCGCGTCTTTTCATGTGCCTCACCCACATGTTTGCGGACCTCAAAGCCACTGGGATCGTTGCACGTCGCTGCATATTCGAGGAGCGCGGGCCCCTCTAAGGTGGAGATTCCATCATCGGCCGCTGAATACTCCAGCG